AAGAACTATCTTATCCACGACATCTATAAAACTCTATACGTAATGAATTAGTATATAAAATGTACAATTTGTAAACGTAAAATCCCAATTGTAGCATGGGAAAAAAAGAAGTATAGCAAAAATACAAGAAGGATCGTTCAAAACAAAAATACAAGAAGAGATAATATTACGAAGACATGTATCACGTGGTCAACTTCTGTGTTAAAATGCAGCCAATAAATCCATGCCACGTACAAGATAGAACATGCACACTTTTTTTATACAGAACAATATGTATAGTTTAAGCAAATACACTCTCGTTAGGGAACAGCTCCGACCAAGAATTCAGTTTTAGTTTTGAAGAGTAACTATAATTGCAAGTGTCTTAATTATAAACTCGATCATCATCATTGTCCTAATAACGAGTTCGAATATCTCAACACAATTAGAAGGAAGAAAACAATCATCCAAAAACATTAGAAAACAAGACCATATTTTACGTATGATTTCCTAGCTAGTAGCTATAACCAAATGAAGATTATTTCCAAATGATGAATTCGTTGCTGTTGTTAACTTTACTAAGTTACTCTCAAAGCAAATAATATGGAACCAAAAAGACAATAGCTTATTGAGTTGTCCCCATCTAGGTACATCCCCCTAGCAATCACAGCCTATTAATAACCATTAGTATATTTCAATATTTTAAAACCCTAATTGGGTTACTAGTGTGGGTTTTCTCCACATTGATTCCTGCCTACACATATCACACACAAACTGACAAACATAACATATACACATAATTACATATCAATCCAACCCTAATCGTAAAGGACCTAAACACAATGTTAATGTTGGCTTTGCTTCAAGCACAACAATGCTAATCTCCCGTGTCCTTTTGCCCCTCTGTAAAAGCAGATTCTAAGCTTTTAAGCTTTGTCTTAATCACACTGTGAATAGTAGTTTCTCTAGGTCTAAACTTTAGAGTTATCTTTTTTGACCCACGATTACTGATGAAGAAACCACTTTTTGTCACCAATTATGTAACACAAATTGTATTATCTAATGAAATGAGAGAAAGATGAATAATATTTGAGAGGGTTTCACAGTAATCTACCTAGTTTGGGTTTTTTGGGTGGGAAGTAGAATTGCATGGTTTGTTGCATAAACCCTGAGACCGTGGCTCAATGGCTAAAAACCATATTATCCTGTGATTGGTTTAACCTGATGGGTCCTAAGAGCCGTATGAGATTGTATGTTCACCTAAAGCCAAAAAAAGATAATGATAAAATGATTCAATCCTCAGGCTAGCTATAATCTGAACAGAGAATTTGCAGATGCAGTGGCTGATAACAAGATCTAAAAGCTGATGTATTAAGATCATAAAATTGGACGAGTGTGAATTTTTAAAAGCATGTGAAGATAATAATGATAATGATTAAAAACACATGACAAGCAGATCTAAAGGAGATTCTGAGCATGAATGAGAACAAACTGAAAAGTACATATTATGTTAGTTTATTTTTGTCCCCGGTGTCAAAGATTGTATTAGATACTGGAACTTAGCATAGATATGGGATAGAAAAATAACTATCAAGTTAATGATGTAAACTAACCTATAAACTTTTTTTCTCCTGTTGAATAACAATATGAGTCTCAAATATCAAGTTCCAACATCAATATTAGTTATTATTACGATTACATTATTATTAAAACTAATGGACAAGAAGAGCCCACATATGATCTCCTAAAATGAAGCTGGAAACTTGCCTGATGTTCAGAGTGGTGTTTTAATGCCATATGATGCTCATTCAGACAAACACAATAATCTAGGAGGTAAGAGGTAAGAGGAACCTTCATTTCATGTTTCCTGATTTTTATAATACTTAGCCAAAAAAAAGCTGCCCTTTCACACGGATAATGAATTATGTATCGTTTCCATAAACAGATTTAAACATTGTTTAATGGTTAGACATTTTTTCATTCCGCAACTACTTTTTGGGAACAATTTTTATTATTATCTAATGAGAGTTATGTGTCAAGACTTGCCTCGCCTATTTAAGCACTCATCATAATGGTTTGACGAAGATGCGCCAGCACTCAACTTCTCTTTCTTCTTCTTCTTCCTCTTCTTATTCTCTTTGTCTCTTTCCTCTGCACGTTTTCAGTTGAACACAAACACAAGAATAAGAAGCCAGAGAAGAAAAAAAGAGAGTTTCCATTTGTAGCTCCATCAAAATTTACTGTGATGTGGGCATTGTGCATTTGGGTTTCTCTGCTTCTCATAAGCATCACACATTGGGTTTACAGTTGGAGGAACCCCAAATGCAGAGGGAAGCTTCCACCTGGTTCAATGGGCTTTCCCTTACTCGGCGAGTCTATCCAGTTCTTTAAGCCAAACACAACCTCAGACATCCCTCCCTTTATCAAGAAAAGGGTCAAGAAGTAAGTGTTCTCTTCTCTTTTTCAAACATTAGTGCTTATTTGTGTAACACAGAGGTTTTAAAAGCTGTTGTGTAAATACAATGCAGGTATGGACCAATTTTCAAGACTAGTCTCGTGGGGAGACCGGTTATTGTGTCAACGGATCCTGATTTGAGTTATTTTGTGTTTCAACAAGAAGGTCGTTGTTTCCAGAGTTGGTACCCAGACACTTTCACACAGATCTTTGGGAGGAAGAATGTTGGTTCACTACATGGTTTCATGTACAAGTACCTTAAAAGCATGGTCTTGACTCTCTTTGGCTACGATGGTCTCAGGAAGATGCTTCCTCAAGCAGAGCTTACTGCAAACAAGAGACTAGAGCTTTGGTCAAATCAAGAATCAGTAGAGCTCAAAGATGCAACCGCAAGCGTGAGTTTCAGGAATAGACTTCCCTATAATGCTTTAGTCCTTGTAGTTGTTGCTAACATGTTGGTGCCACACATTTTATTATCAGATGATATTTGATCTCACCGCAAAGAAGTTAATCAGCCATGATCCAGAAACGTCATCAGAGAATCTAAGGGACAATTTTGTTGCTTTTATTCAAGGACTCATATCCTTCCCTTTTAATATTCCAGGCACAGCTTATCACAAATGTCTACAGGTATGAATCATCATTTGAATACCAACAGTTATTCTTTAAGCTATGGTATGGTAACTAATGTTTGAAGTTTTCTTGCAGGGTAGGGAAAAGGCAATGAAGATGTTGAGGAATATGCTTCAAGAGAGGCGCAAGAACCCTCGGAAAAATCCAAGTGATTTCTTTGACTACGTTATTGAAGAGATTCAGAAAGAAGGGACGATTCTGACAGAAGAGATAGCATTGGATTTGATGTTCGTCTTGCTATTCGCCAGCTTCGAAACAACTTCTCTCGCTTTAACTTTAGCCATCAAGTTTCTTTCAGATGACCCTGCGGTTCTAAAGCGTTTAACGGTCAGTGAAAGGATAATCTTGGCAACAAGTAGTGACAAATTTCTGGTTATTATGAAAAAGCTAATTATGTGTTTAATCTTTATCAGGAAGAACATGAGACAATTCTGAGAAACAGGGGAGATGCAGACTCAGGACTTACATGGGAAGAATACAAGTCAATGACTTACACATTTCAGGTTGCTTAAAGAGTTTTATAAACGTTAAAAAATGGTTAATTCCTAAAAAATTCTTAAATACATTATGTTTTGCTGACAAAGTTTTAAAAATTTCTGAAATCAGTTCATAAATGAAACAGCAAGACTAGCAAATATAGTTCCTGCAATCTTCAGAAAGGCGTTGATAGATATTAAATTCAAAGGTATGATCAAATATTTTTATACATATATATTTCTGAATGATTAAACTGCCTTTTTTTGTTTCTTTCTTATATTATCATTAAGACATTTTCAACGATGCAGATTATACAATTCCAGCCGGCTGGGCGGTGATGGTCTGTCCTCCAGCTGTACATTTGAATCCAGACAAGTATGAAGATCCTTTACGCTTCAATCCATCAAGATGGGAGGTGAGAGATCAAAACCCTTCTCAGTAACTTCTACTCCAAGTAAAACTGAAAAAAAAACAAAAAATAGCAAAACTAATCAAACAAGAAACTGACAAATTGGGTGTCGATACACAGGAATCAAAATCTAACAACGCATCCAAGCATTTCATGGCGTTTGGTGGTGGAATGAGGTTCTGTGTTGGAACAGACTTCACCAAAATGCAGATGGCTGTGTTTCTTCACAGCCTTGTAACAAAATACAGGTTTGAATAAAAGCAAATTCATCTTTTCACTAATTCTTTTTTTATGTAGTGTTAGAACAAGAAGACTGATTTTAATTCTGTATCAGGTGGGAGGAAATAAAAGGAGGGAATATACGAAGAACTCCAGGATTACAGTTTCCGAATGGTTACCATGTCAGACTCCATAAAAAAGAGACCAGAGAATGCTAAAAGTAAAAACCAAAAGTTGGTAGGATCAGCCTAAGACCAGACCACATTCAATCTTTAAACACCCTAAGTTAAACAGGGAAGATGATATGGTCTACCTTGAATCCATTTTGTCTTAGGCTAAGGCTGAGAATCAGCTGACAAAGCTGAATACACAATTTTGATTTCAAGCAGGAGCTTCTCTGTGTCTTGTCAGAAACTGTAAAATGTATAGTATTGATCATAGACATGTAAAAGTATTATATGAAATCATCAGGAGTTTTCTCTATGACTGGTGTTATCAAATCCCTATATATGAAATTTCCTCCAATGGTTTTTCAATGCATCTGTTTCATAACTATTTACTAAAATATTTGAAAGAGGTGCAAATGAAATTCTCTGAATAAATCATTTGAAGATTAATAGCATACAAATTCCACTCAATACTCCAAAAGAGAAACCAGTTAAATTTTAGTTACAGTTTAAAAAATAAAAAACATAAAGGAGAAGAATATATCATATATGTTAGAAACAGAGCAACACAAAGCAAAAAACAGTTAAAGACAAACAAAAAAAGAGGGAAAGAAATGAAGATATGTTATAACATTTTTTACAGTAATGATGATTGAACACATCAACAAGTCCACCTGGAAGTAGGGTAACAATCTAGGCGATGGCACCATTTGCAAAGTTTGTTCCCATTCTCTCCTTTGAACAGCATCACAGTCCCAACTATTAAACCAGCGACGACCAAAACAGCAGCGACAAAGAACAACAAGTACTGGCACGGGTTAAACTTTGCCTTGCCACGAGCACCGTACTGACCAGAGTTGCGAGACTCTTCCCACCCGTACTGTGGCCTGATCAGCACCACAAACCCGAGTAGAAACCCGGTCAAGAACCCACCGATGTGAGCAAAGTTATCAACCCAAGGAAGCAGCCCTATTGCCAAATCGATTGCCACCATGAACAATATGGTGAACAAAGCCCCAAGCTGTAAAAAGATATCAGAAAAACGGTTAAGGCAATGAAGAGAAAGAACAAGAACAGGACATGTTGGTGTTATACTACCTTGCTGGAGTAGATAGTCCAGTTGATGAGAAGCTCCGATGACATTGCTCCAAGGAGTCCAAGAAGAGCACCAGAGGCACCAACAGAGATACTGTTCTGAAGGAAGAGTGCTGAGAGAACGCTCCCTCCAAATCCAGAGATCACGTAGACGAGTCCGACTTTTACTGCGGAAGTGTTTTACAAGACATTTTTAAATACATGAAGAGAGTCCAGGAGGATGAGAAGGAGGAAAATAACTTACTGAAGCCAAACTGCTGCTCAAGACGCCTACCGATGGCGATGACATTGACCATATTAACAAGGAGGTGAATGAGACCGGCATGGAGAAACATTGAAGTGAGGAGCCTCCATTTCTCATGGCCTTGTACCACTTTCCTCCATTCCAAAGCTCCCATTTTCTCCAATCTGAAAACCACAAATCGAATCATCACCGATCAAAAGTTACATACCCCCATTGCTAAAGAAGTTCACAATCTTATATCCAACCATCTTCTCACACGTGAGATTTTTGGATTCACAGGTTGTTTGAAACAAATCTTGTGGGTTTGACAAGAACACAATGCTCAATCAAGAAATCAGTGAGCTTTATCTCAAGAACAGAAATTTTCTTGAATTCAACGTGACATAACCAGATTAATCAGATAGACCAATGTTAATCAAAAATTCGAAAGTAATGATGAAAAAATGAGACTTTTGAAATACCCCACAAGCCTAAACTTGATTTGTAAGCCACCAAAGGATCAGAGCGATCAAAATCTTCAAACTTGGGTACAAAAAGATTTAAGACTTCGGATTACGAGCATTTTATAAACTTACGTTGAAGAAGAAGGGCCAAAGAGAGGGCTCTCTCTGAGTGGCTGGAACGAGAACCTGCCGAGAAACTTCGCCATACAATCTCCGTTGGCACCAGCGACCGTCTTGGGGCAGTCGTTGATAAACATGACGAATACGAAGATGGCGATATTAGCCACGACGATCAACGGAACTAGCCATGACGTCCACGTGCTATTCCTATTTTCTCTCGTCTTCCCTCTCCTGTCCACATCTCTACCTGACATTCTCTCTTCTCTTCTCGTAATGAAGGACGCAACTGCTGTCTAAAAAATATTAAAAATTACAGAATTTAAATCAAACGGATCAAAGAAGCTGAACACGAGGAAGAATAGATTGAGACAGGAAACATAAAACAGAGATTTAGGCAGAAGAATTTTTAACCTTTAAATTATTTCGTCGGTTTTTTTTTTGTTTTTCTGAATTTGAAGAGATTCAACCGTTGAATTGATTCTCGTAACGGAAAACAAATATATTTTTTCCGGTGCGCGCAATAAATTGAAAAGCTTCGGTGGTGGCAGCTCCTTCAAGATATTTTCCGTTTCCTTTCTGATCAAAAATCTCTCAGACCTGAGAGAATAAATCAGACGTGAAATCAATTTGTATTTATATATTGATTCTGTTATCATCGTCGTGAAAAAAGTCTACGGGCAATGCCAATAAGGCTTAATAATAAGCTTTACTAAAATAGGTTCTTCTTCTACATATAATGTGCCTGCACTATCCATTTTATTTAGGTGACAAAAAATAAATTGATCCAGTCAAAAATAAATTTTGATGTTTACAATGTAAAGTGTTAATTCAGGTTCACTACAACATTGTATGAATTTCATTACAACATTATATGAATTTCAGACACATTTAATGTAAAGTGTTTAATTTAAGTTCTGTACACGTGTTATTACTTGTCCGGTGGTTGACTGTTGACTAATGGACCACATGAGACTATTAAATGATTGAGATTTCAAATATCAAAATTTTACCAATTCGTCAAAAGAGACTTTCTGTTAATTTTCTTTATCACCAAATTCATCATCGTCTCTCTCTCTCTCTCGTCTCTTCTTCTCTCTTCCTGTACACGATCGAAACCCTAGCGATTCCAATTTCGTTTTCCGAGATCGAATTCGTACCTTTTTATGGCGTAACGCAACCCGAATTTCAACGATTTAGTTTTTATTTCCAATTTTATCGAGAAGAATTTAGGAAACAAAAAAAAAACACGGGAGAGAAACAATGTCAACGGAGACTACGGGGAATAATTCGTCATCGCTTCCGGCGTCATCATCGTCTCGCCATCTTTCCTCCGACGCCATCGATCCGGCGCCGTTGCTTTTGAGCGGCGACGAAAATGAAGGAATCAACAACGGAGGAGGCTCCGGTCAAGCAATCGGCGGGGAACGGAGATCCGTGAGGAGGCAGGGGCTTAGGGAAGCGGCGAGGTTTCTAAGCCGTGCGAGTAGTGGGCGGGTGATGCGGGAGCCGTCGATGGTTGTGAGGGAGGCTGCGGCGGAGCAGCTGGAGGAGAGGCAGAGCGATTGGGCGTATTCGAAGCCTGTGGTGGTGCTCGACATCGTTTGGAATTTGGCTTTCGTCTCCGTCGCTACGGCTGTTCTGGTGATGAGCCGGAATGAACATCCGATCATGCCGCTCAGAGTTTGGCTCTGTGGGTATGCGTTGCAATGCGTGCTGCATATGGTTTGTGTGTGCGTTGAGTATCGGAGGAGGAACAGGATGAGAACGAGTAGGACTCCACCACGGTCACGTTCTTCTTCGTCCTCTTCGTCTTCTTCCTCCATGGAGGAAGATGCTTTGGGCTCGAGGAGGAATTCAGATGAGCAGGACTTGTCGATTGGGCAGCTGGAGAGCGAAACCAGCAGGTATGTAGCTAAATTTCTTCTTTCCTTAAGCAGATCAGACGTTTGCCAGATCAAATTGGTATGTAGAAGATGGAGTTTTGGTTTGGATTATCAAATTGGTTGCTTATTCTATAAATTTCCCATTTGAGTAGTGGTTTCTTAAACAAAGTGACGATCTTTGCTGTTCCTTGATGAATGTTACAATCTTATTGAGATTAAATGCAACTTTTGAGGGAATGTGATGTTACTGAATCATTCTGTTCCAAGTTACTATCATCATTTTTCCGTCATTTTAGATAGTTCCGTGCTACAAGCTCTTTGTTTATCATATGTTTCTGGTTGTTTTAGTATCTCACTTATTGTTACCAAAGCAGTGTTGCAAAGCATCTGGAATCTGCCAACACAATGTTTTCGTTTATATGGTGGATCATTGGATTCTACTGGGTATCTGCTGGTGGAGAACAGTTGGCACGAGAATCCCCTCGGATTTACTGGTTTGTTTGTTCTTTACTCCATCTCTATTATTCATAAACTGCTAAACCTATGATTCCGACTTAATTTTTTTCTGAATGCCTTGCTCATCTCAGGTTGTCTATCGTCTTTCTTGGATTCGATGTGTTCTTTGTTGTCTTCTGTGTTGCGTTGGCCTGTGTTATCGGCATTGCTGTTTGCTGTTGCCTTCCATGCATCATTGCAGTTTTATACGCTGTTGCAGATCAGGTAACTTTTTCATAACCAGTTTCATCTTATATCCTAAGCCCGCTACATTGTGCTATATGTTTTGAACACGACTCACGATGGAAAACGCAGGAAGGGGCTTCGAAAGAAGACATTGAGCAGCTCACGAAATTCAAGTTTCGAAAAGTTGGTGATGTCAACAAACACGCTGGTGATGAAGCACAAGGAAACACCGAGGGAATAATGACAGAGTGTGGTACAGATTCACCCGTTGAACACACTCTTTTGCAGGAGGATGCAGTAAGTATACACTACAAACGCACCAATCACTTCTCCTTAAACAGATCATTATGGTTTCTGATTCTTGTGATTCTGCGTTATTATAGGAATGTTGCATCTGTCTTTCTGCATATGAAGACGGGACAGAGCTAAGGGAACTTCCCTGTGGCCACCATTTCCACTGCTCATGCGTAGACAAATGGCTATACATAAACGCCACTTGTCCACTCTGCAAATACAACATCCTCAAGAGTAGTAACTTGGATCGAGAGGAAGTCTAGAAAGAAACAGCTTACTTGTTCATGAGTTATGAACCCAACACCACATTTGATCAGGAGACTTTGGGTTAAAAAGGTAAAAAGTAAAAAACACGGCTGGTGTTTTTTCTTAGTTATGATATGCATTGTTTGTGATATGATATATATCTATATACAAATTATTATTTACTTTTGTTTGTTTTTGTTTTTGTTTATGTTGTTCTTTTTTGGTATGGAAACTAATCAGGTCTGTACATCTGTAACTATAATCTTCTTTCACTCTTGTATTTACTCTCTCTGTGTCGACCTCGAATTGTTAGAGATTTTCATGATCATGGATCTTTTCTTTTGTTATTCTGGAGATGGGTCAATGAAGATTTTGATCTCTGATTTTAAGTTTTATCGCCGGTCAAGTCCAGTTCGGTCTCACTTCTCATACCAACTTGAATTTAATAAATTGAACCAACAACAAAAAACCAATCTACACCGGAGTTTTATCTCATCAAAACTGATTAGATCACTGAGGAGTGAGGATATAAAATCTTGTGTATTCCGGTTTGTTTTAACCGTTTTTTCTGTCCGGTTTGGTCCAATTAAAGCGGAACCTTTTATCTAGAAACTGGAGAGAGGAGGAAAAAATACGTAAGCTTTGTTCTCCTCTTACTCTCTCGACTTTCGACCACTGCCTTAGCGTCTCACGAAGAGTATTATCAGGTGCCTTTCTTTGATCTCCTCTTCTCTGACTTTCCGATACGATACATTTCTCTTCGTACTCTCCTGTTGCTAACTTACAATCTTTCTCAGCCTTGGACTCGGTCTCGGTCCTTTATCTTATCTCTAAACTTGACTAGAGCTTCAGAGTTTTTATTTTCTTCCTTTTTGCTTGGGTCGATTGTTAAGAAGCTTTTTTCCCATAATTGCGTGGGTTGTTGCTGAAGCTGCTAGGAAATTCGCTTACTGGGCGATGATGCTTTTTACGCCCGCCAAGTGTTCGACGAATTGCCCCCATTGTTGTCTTGTTTTTTTTTTCCTTATTTTATAAGCTGATTCCTTCTAGATATCTCATTTGATATAAAACACCTCAGCTGCTTGTCTCCCGCGTTCACAAAGCTCATGTCTTTTTTTATTTCAGTCTTTTCAGTGTATCTATGAATTGTGTTTCTGCTTGCTAATTTGCTATCTAATCTGAAATTCACGGATGATTTTATCCACCTGATGTAATTCCCATGTACTTTTCAGGTTGTTCTGAGCAAATGTTGTGATAAAAAGGACTCTTTTTTCTTTTTGTTAGCAAGCACAGAGGAGTGACATGGCGGCATTAGCTCCAACCAGATTCCTTGTTCTACTCAGAGAGTTTACAGCCTTCAGAAAGATATCATGGCGTTCTGCTGCAACCAACTACCACAGGCAATCGCGTTTCTTATGCCATGTTGCGAAAGAAGATGGGTCTCTTACTCTTGCAAGCCTTGAATTGGAGAACAAACCAAGAAAATCAGGGAAGAGTAAAGCGATAAAGCTTGAGGGAGGTTTTGTTACTGACATTGGTCAAGGTAAGGTAAGAGCGGTAAAGAACGATAAAATGAAACTAGTGAAGGTGAAGAAACAAGCTGAGATCGTCTCACCTTTGTTTTCTGCAAAATCCTTTGAAGAGCTTGGCCTCCCAGATTCATTGTTAGACAGTTTAGAAAGAGAAGGTTTCTCTGTTCCAACAGATGTCCAATCCGCAGCTGTCCCAGCAATAATCAAAGGCCACGACGCAGTGATTCAGTCCTACACAGGATCTGGCAAGACACTAGCTTACCTCCTTCCAATATTATCCGAAATTGGTCCACTCTCCAACAGTGAAAGCGATAAGAGAGCAGATATTCAGGCAATGATCGTGGCTCCATCGAGAGAACTCGGTATGCAGATAGTAAGAGAGGTGGAGAAACTTCTCGGACCTAATCACCGTAGAATGGTTCAGCAGTTGGTTGGAGGTGCGAACCGAATGAGGCAAGAAGAGGCTCTTAAGAAGAACAAACCAGCAATCGTCGTTGGCACTCCCGGGAGGATTGCAGAGATAAGCAAAGGTGGGAAACTGCACACTCATGGGTGTAGGTTCTTGGTGCTAGACGAAGTCGATGAGCTTTTATCTTTCAATTTCCGAGAAGATATCCATAGGATACTTGAGCATGTGGGAAGGAGATCTGGTGCTGGTCCTAAAGGAGAAGTCGACGAACGTGCTAACAGACAGACCATTCTAGTCTCTGCAACTGTGCCGTTCTCCGTTATTAGAGCAGCTAAGAGCTGGAGTCACGAGCCGGTTCTTGTCCAAGCCAACAAGATCACTGCTCTTGATACCGTTCAAGCATCTGCACCGGCGATTAGCTTGACCCCCACAACGTCTGAAGCTGATGGACAGATTCAGACTACTATTCAGAGCTTACCTCCAGCGTTGAAACACTATTACTGCATCTCAAAGCACCAACACAAAGTCGACGCGTTGAGGAGATGCGTTCACGCGCTGGATGCTCAATCGGTTATAGCTTTCATGAACCACTCAAAGCAGCTGAAAGACGTGGTCTACAAACTTGAAGCTCGTGGTATGAGCTGCGCTGAGATGCATGGAGATCTAGGGAAGCTAGGGAGATCAACGGTGCTGAAGAAGTTCAAGAACGGGGAGGTTAGGGTGCTGGTGACTAACGAGCTCTCGGCTCGGGGTCTTGATGTTGCAGAATGTGATTTGGTGGTGAACCTTGAACTGCCGACGGACGCGGTTCACTATGCACACCGAGCTGGGAGGACGGGGAGGCTGGGAAGGAAAGGGACGGTGGTTACAGTGTGTGAGGAATCGCAAGTGTTTATAGTGAAGAAGATGGAGAAGCAGCTTGGTTTGCCTTTCTTGTATTGTGAGTTTGTTGATGGAGAGCTTCTTGTCACTGAGGAAGATAAAGCTATTATAAGGTAGACGAAATCACAAGAATGTAGTTTCCTCTAGCTTTCAGATACAGTTGTTATAACTTTATTAAATTCAGAATTTTTGCCTCCCTCTTTTTTTGTTGTTGCTATTTCTTAAACAATTAGTATTTGTACTTCAATATGAACATGTAAAACCAGATAACCAGTGCATAAATAAGCCATATAATTTGTAAAAATACAAGAAAATGGTGAAATTCGAGTCATTGTTTGAACAAACTAGTTTGCGTGAAGGTAACACTCGAGTAAACCGATTCCGGTATGAGTTAAACCGACAGAAATTCAGTTGGTTTGGTCTGTATGTTTTGGGTTATTCATTTGTTCCCAACTTCCTCCTAAAGCTCCCTCGTAGGATTCAGCTCGAAATGACGACGATGGTGATGCGGAGATGGAGTGGTAAAGCTTTGAAATTTGGTCAGCCCCGTCTCTCTGAGACAGGTATTTTGAGAAATGCGTCATTCCATTGCCCATACAAGTTGTTGAATTTCTGGGAAAGAGACTTTTCTGGTCTCAGTAGCAGCGATAGGAATCTCTCTTACGGAGAGAGATTGAGGAGTGGGCTTGTCGATATTAGGGCGGATGATGCTGTGAATCTCTTCCAATCCATGCTTCGGTCTCGTCCCCTCCCTCTGTCAGATTTCAACAGATTGTTTAGTGGCATTGCCAAAACAAAACGGTACGATATCGTTTTAGATCTCAGCAAGCAAATGGAGTTTCAAGGGATTGCTTATGACCTCTACTCTCTGAACATTATGATCAATTGCTTCTGCCGGCTCCGAAACTATTTCTGCTTTCTCTGTTTTGGGGAAGATGTTGAAACTTGGGTATGAGCCTGACACGGTCACATTTTCAACTCTGATGAATGGATCTGTCTCAAGGGTAGAGTTTCCGAAGCTCTGACGTTAGTTGATCGAATGGTAGCAATGGAGCTTACACCCGATCTCATAACGCTTAACACTCTCATCAATGGAGTTTGTCTCAAAGGCAAAGTGTCTGAAGCATGGATTTAATCGATCGAATGGTGGAAAATGGATGTCAGCCCATGCAGTTACCTATGGACCAGTTTTAAATGTTATGTGCAAGTCAAGGGAAAACTGCTATGGCCTTGGATTTGCTGAGAAAGATGGAAGAAGAAAGATCAAGCTCATGCAGCCAAATACAATATTATCATCGATGGTCTTTGCAAAGATGGGAAGCTCGACGATGCAATCAATCTTTTCAATGAAATGGAAATGAAAGGGATCAAAGCAATGTTATCACCTACAGCACTCTCATCGGAGGCCTTTGTAAAGACGGTAGATGGAATGATGGCGCAGAGTTGCTGAGGGATATGATCACAAGAGGAATCATCCCCAACGTTGTCACTTTCAGTGCGTTGATTGACAGTTTTGTGAAAGAGGGAAAAACTTGTAGAGGCTAAAGAACTGTACAATGAGATGATCGCAAGAGGTATACCCTACCACAATACATATAATTCTTTGATAGATGGGTTGTGCATGGAGAAGCGCCTAGACGAGGCCAGTCAGATGTTGATCTTATGGTTAGCAAGGGATGCGATCCTGATATTGTGACTTATAGTATCCTTATAAACGGATATTGCAAGGCTAATCTAGTTGACAAAGGTTTGGAAATCTTCCGAAAATTGTCTCTGAGAGGACTGGTTGGGAATACAGTCACTTATAGCACTCTCATCCAAGGTTTCTTCAATGTGGAAAACTGAATGTTGCCAAAGAACTCTTCCAGAGATGGTTTCTCGTGGTGTGCACCCAGTGCTGTAACTTATGGTATTTTGTTGGACGGTTTGTGTGACAATGGAGAACTAGAAAATGCATTGGAGATATTTGAGAAAATAGAGAAGAGTAAATTGGATTTTGGTATTGGTATCTACAATATCATCATACATGGGATGTGCAATGGTAGTAAGGTCGATGATGCTTGGGATTTGTTCTGTAGCCTTCCTCTAAAGGAGTGAAGCCCAATGTTAAGACATACACCGTGATGATTGCAGGATTATGTAAGAAAGGCTCACTGTCCGAAGCTGACCTGTTGTTTAGAAAGATGGGAGAGGATGGGATTGCACCAAATAGTGGTACATACAACACACTAATCCGAGCACATCTCGGGGGTAGTGGCCTAACCACTTCAGTTGAACTCATCGAAGAAATGCAGATGCTTCCACTATGAAGATGGTTATTGATATGTTATCGAGTGGTAGATTGGACAAAAGCTTTCTAGATATGCTTTCTGGATCTGGTGATTCATGTTGATGCAAATGATACTTGCATTGGAATTATAATCTTCTTGGTTTGCTATAATTTTGTTGTTTTCCAAAAGCATCAAACAGGTTGAATGGTCAAGCATGAGGTTTGGTTATAAGAGAGGTCTCAATGGTTTCTTCTCTCCTCTCATACATTTATGATATAAGGCTCAACGGACTTGTAAGGCTCAAAATGTGCGCTTTCAGAATTCAATGGAATTAATCAACTTGCTATTTTATGGCGCTGTTGGATACATGGAAAATGTATGCATCTCATCGATACTTGGAGCTTGAGTATGACACATTCTATGCAACCACAATTCCCTGGAGAACCTCTGCAGTGAGTGATTAATGCCTCAGGAATACTCCACAGAGATCTCTCTCACCCGAGTTGTTTGACAAACCGTATACTCTTACAAGTCAACCAAACAGGATTTAACTGACACTAAAACATATTTCTGGTCAACATCAAACACTTGGGACTTGTCTATCACAATTTGAGTCATTGTTCTTCACCTCTAGGATAAGCACAAGCACCGGAAATCACATTACTATTTACTAATTGGCTGTAGATGAAAATAAACTTCAATTGAGTAGTTTCCTAGTTCTTTTAGTATAACCTACTGCTTCACCGCACTCTTAACCTATGCACGATGGATTGCTACTGGTATATTTTGGGATAATGTCGCTGGAGCTGAAAGCTTCATCTTTTGAGGGTCTTCTTAATGGCCATGCCTTTACTTTAATAAATGGAATTTTAAGAAGAAAAAGAGATAACGTAAATTCAAAAAAGCTATATTTTTTCTCGCATTTAGCAGCAGCTTATTCACTGAATATCTTGCATATTGTTTTGTAAAATAAAAGAAAATGAAACTCGAGTTATTGTTTGACCCGTTAATTTGCGTGACGGAGCTGACGGTAACACTCGAGTAAACCAGTCCCGGCAATGACTTAAACCGGCTAAAATTGAAATGGTTTGGTCTCTATGTTTTGGGTATTCTTCGTAGGGATTAACTCAGAAAAGGAACGATTCATCTCGAAAGGACGACGACGACGACGATGATTAGGAGATGGAGTGGTAAAGCTTTGAAATTTGGCCAGCCCCATTTCCCTGAGACAGGTATTCTGAGAAATGCTTCATTCCATTGCCCGTACGAGCTGTTGAATTTCTGCGAAAGAGACTTTTCTGGTCTCAGCAGCAGCGATAGAAATCTCTCTTACAGAGAGATTGAGGAGTGGGCTTGTCGATATCAAGGCGGATGATGCTGTTGAGCTCTTCCAATCCATGCTTCGGTCTCGTCCCCTCCCCTCTGTCATAGATTTCAATAATTGTTTAGTGGCATTGCCAAAACAAAAGGTACGATATCGTTTTAGATCTCTCAAGCAAATGGAGTTTCAAGGGATTGCTTATGACCTCTACTCTCTGAACATTATGATCAATTGCTTCTGCCGGCTCCGCAAACTATCTTCTGCTTTCTCTGTTTTGGGGAAGATGTTGAAACTTGGGTATGAGCCTGACACGGTCACCTTTTCAACTCTGATGAATGGATTATGTCTCGAGGGTAGAGTTTCCGAAGCTCTGACGTTAGTTGATCGAATGGTAGCAATGGAGCTTACACCAGTCTCATAACGCTTAACACCCTCATCAATGGAGTTTGTCTCAAAGGCAAAGTGTCTGAAGCTATGGATTTAATCGATCGAATGGTGGAAAACGGATGTCAGCCCGATGCAAGTTACCTATGGACCAGTTTTAAATGTATGTGCAAACAAGGGAAACTGCTATGGCCTTGGATTTGCTCAGAAAGATGGAAGAAAGAAAGATCAAGCTCGATGCAGCCAAATACAATATTATCATTGATGGTCTTTGCAAAGACGGGAAGCTCGACGATGCAATCAACCTTTTCAATGAAATGGAAATGAAAGGGATCAAAGCAAATGTTATCACCTACAACACTCTCATCGGAGGGCTTTGTAAAGACGGTAGATGGAATGATGGCGCAGAGTTGCTTAGGGATATGATCAAAGGAAATCATCCCCAACGTCATCACTTTCAATGCGTTGATTGACAGTTTTGTGAAAGAGGGAAAACTTGTAGAGGCTAAAGAACTGTACAATGAGATGATTGCAAGAGGTATACTCCTACCACTTATACATATAATTCTTTGATAGATGGGTTGTGCATGGAGAAGCGCCTAGACGAGGCCAGTCAGATGTTGGATCTGATGGTTAGCAAGGGATGCGATCCTGATATTGTGACTTATAGTATCCTTATAAATGGATATTGCAAGGCTAATCTAGTTGACCAAGGTTTGGAAATCTTCCGCAAATGTCTCTGAGAGGACTGGTAGCCGATAAAGTCACTTATAGCACTCTCATCCAAGGGTTTCTTCAATCGGGAAAACTTAATGTTGCCAAAGAACTCTTCCAAGAGATGGTTTCTCGTGGTGTGCACCCGTGCTGTAACTTATGCTATTTTGTTGGACGGTTTGTGTGACAATGGAGAACTAGAAAATGCATTGGAGATATTTGAGAAAATGGAGAAGAGTAAATTGGATTTTGATATTGGTATCTACAATATCATCATACACGGGATGTGCAATGGTAGTAAGGTCGATGATGCTTGGGATTTGTTCTGTAGCCTTCCTTCCAAAGGAGTGAAGCCCAATGTTAAGACATACACCGTGATGATTGCAGGACTATGTAAGAAAGGCTCACTGTCCGAAGCTGACATGTTGTTTAGAAAATGGGAGAGAATGGGATTGCACCGGATGATTGTACATACAACACACTAATCCGAGCACATCTCGGGGGTAGTGGCCTAACCACTTCAGTTGAACTCATCGAAGAAATGAAGAGATGTGGATTCTCTGCAGATGCTTCCACCATGAAGATGGTTATTGATATGTTATCGAGTGGTAGATTGGACAAAAGCTTTCTAGATATGCTTTCTGGATCTGGTGATTCATTTTGATACAAATGATAGTTGCATTAAACTCATAATCTTCTTGGCTTGCTATGATTGAAATAGGTGGAATGGTCAAGCATGAGGTTTCTTCTTATCTCTGATACATTAATGAGTATTTATTCTTTTCTCTACGATAGGTTTGGTTATAAGATAGGTCTACATGGATGTATTAAGGGTCAGTGTGTGCTTAAAGGTTTTGTCCTATAGTTACATAACTGAGAATTCAGTGGAATCAATCAACTTGCTATTTTATTCATTGATGTAAAAGGAGCTGTTCGATACATGGAAAATAAAGCACAACTTGTATATCATATATGTGTAACACTTTTGACTTTTCCTTTTATATTGAGTGCTTAGAAATGGTAACTAAAGAAACAAAAAAAAAAAGGAGAGAGTAACTTCAGAGCTTCTTCTGGTAACCCCATGGATTGTTGTTTGCCCAATTCCACTGATCTCTGCACATCTCTTCCACTCCATATTTCGCTCTACACAAAAATTTAAACCACATCAAATACTGTTTTCAACAATTTAACCACTGGCTAAAACCAAATACAGTGGATGGATAGAGAATTAAACTTACTTCCAGCCAAGTTCTTTCTCAGCTCTCTCTGTTGAAGCATAAACTGCAGTTGCATCTCCTGACCTTCTTCCACAGAGCTTGATAGGGATTTTCTGCAAAATACGTTTTTTTGTTTCAAACCATCATCTAACCAGAACACTAAACATATTTTTCACCTTTCTCATCTGAATTTCATTCCCTCTTGTTTACCTTGCCGGAAGCTTTTTCAAAAGCAGCAACCATTTCCAACACAGACGTTCCTCTTCCAGTCCCTAGATTGTAAGCAATACAGCCTGACACATCACAACAACACATGCCCTGAGGTTGAGAATAATCCATCGCATCATAACTAAACTCTTTTAACAGTCAAGTTTTCTGAGAGAGTTACCAATCTCTGGATCAGCAAATAGCTTCTTTAGCGCAGCGATATGTCCATCTGCCAAATCCATCACATGTATGTAGTCTCTCACCTGTTTCAAACATCCTTCTTAACATTCTAAAAAGACGATCCTTTTCGGTTTTGCATCTAAAACAAACTGAATTGAGAGACTTTGGGACTTTACCGCACTACCATCCTTGGTAGGATAGTCATGTCCATAGACGTTGAGCTCAGGTTGTCGTCCAACAGCAACTTGTTGAATGTAAGGCATGAGATTATTTGGGATTCCCTTTGGATCCTCACCGATTCTTCCACTCTCATGTGCTCCCACAGGATTGAAGTACCTCAGCAGGACAATTCTCCATTCAGGTTCTGCCTTTTGGATATCTCTAGCGATTTCTTCAAGAAAGAGCTGCACAAGAGAGAGAAGTTGTCAACACACAAAAGACTCTCAACAATTGAACATTGTTATCTCTGTATTGCTTAAGAAATGAGATTTAAGACTCAGAAGTGCTCAAGAGTCAAATATACCTTAGTACGACCATAAGGATTCATTGCCTTCAATTCAAAGTCTTCCATGCATGGAATTTTTTCAGGTTGTCCATAAACAGTTGCAGAGGACGAAAACACCATCTGCATATTTTCCAAAATACATTAATGTAAGATCGAACAAGGAAATAAAAAACATTTCTGAAGTTTTGGAATGTTATCTAAACCTTTTTGCAGTTGTACTTGGCCATGGTCTCGTATAGATTGATGGTTCCAACCAAGTTGTTGTCAAAGTAGCGTCGTGGGTTTCCAACACTCTCCCCCACAGCTTTTAGTCCCGCAAAATGGATCACAGCATCAAATCTGTGTTAACCTCACAAGAAAACGAAATCAAACCAAGAGCCAAATAGTCCAGAAAACTTATCAAGAACTCTACAATTCACCTGAACACATACCTCTGCTTGGCGAAGAGTTTCTCAATATCCCCTTTGTTTCTTAGATCACCCTGTAATCAATCAACACCAAAGTCGTATCAACTATCAACCTCCACAGAAACGCAATCCAACGAGCAATGTCATAAAAGCAACCAACTACAAGTCTAAATAAAGCTAACATTCTTCCATTTTTTCTTGTGAACCAAACAGAGAAGAATTCAGATTCGTTGATTGTTTTGATAAGCAAAACAAACCGAGCCTCGTCAAATCCAAGCAAGCAGAAACTACAATCTCACTACACCAAATCATTTGATTAGGCGAAATATTGATGAAGTCAACAAATTTATCAAGAAACCAATTTCCATTTCCAGAGAGCCAAAAACCAACAGAAACGACCGATTCATGCGCAAATACAATCACAGAGCAACAAATTTCAGCTCACAAAAACTACACCTCTATCAGATTTTCTCGGGAAAATAAGAAAAGAAAACACAGTCTCTAGACGGAGAACTAGTCGGAGAAGAAGTACTCACCAGATTAAACTCGAGCTTCTTGGAGAGATCAGGACCAACGAGCTCCCTGACTCTATCGACGGCTTCGATAACAGAATTGTCAAGATTATCGATGATAGAAACCTTAAACCCCTCTTTCAGAAGTTGAACAACAGTATGCGTCCCGATGAATCCAGCTCCGCCAGTAACAAGAATGTTCTGCTCCACCGACGAACCCATTGCCACGAATTCGAAGAGAGGGAAATGGAATTATCGAAGAACCCAACTCGCAAAATCGATTCTTTCTGCGTTTAGAGAGAGAGAGAGAGAGAGAAACAGAGCAGATGAAGGAGATTTAGAGAGAAGACGCAAGAAAGTTGGGTCCTTAATAAATGAATTTTTGTAGCTTTGTTTACGAGTTGATAAGAACGCACGCAAAGCGAAAAATAGGAAAGGAGTGGGCTCAAGGATGTGTCTTTGTTGGTTTCTATAATAGAACGGCAGTGATAATGATGACAACGATGATTTAAGATATGATTGTGGCTTTGATTCCTCGATTTTCAGTTACGTATCGATCGTCAATTTTGTCTCTTTTCTCGAATAGAATTTAAATAAAATTAAATAAGGGGAATACAAAAAAAAGATAGTCTTTTATGTTGCACTTGTATTTTTTTATCTATTTTTGTACAGAGTTGTGAAGCCTTTGAATTTGATAGTGATGACCAAATCTACGAGGATCATGGGAAAACAGAGAGTAATTTCGGATAATTTGCTTAGAGTAAGCTTTTTTACTAAGACAATCTTAAGCAGAATCTCTCATTACTAATAAATTTCATTATGATAACACTGAAAATCGGATGATAACGTTGTTGTCTAGTCACCATTTTTTTTTGTCAAGAGTTGTCCATTCAAACATTATCTGTTTTTTTTTTGTTAAAAGGAAACATTATCTGTTCTCACTTAGGAAGTACTATGCATCAGCGAGGAGATGATTTTAGATCCCAATAAAGCGATAACGTAAGTACACAAAAACTACAGCTAAGTTTTCTAAATGTAAAGCCAATTCCACATGTGCTTTGTTAGATTGTCGTTTTTGCTTAGGATCAAAGAACCCCAAAACCCTGAACATCAACAAAAAGAAAACGAATATTGTGTTCTTGCTATCAATCATCATCTACCAAACGTTTTCATAGTTCGATTACGTATTACTATGAGTATGATTGCTTCAAAACATCATAAGGTTCGGCTCAAATATCTTTGATCTATTAAATTTCCACACGAAACACAAAATAAACCACAAAGAAAATAAGGAGGTACTACTATTAATGTACCAGGTATTGGCTCCTATAGGTATAAGATATAATTTGATTTAGTAAAGTTTTTTTTTGATAAATTGATATAGTAAAGTTTTGTTTATTCCACTCAAGATCTTTTGTATAAAATATTTAAAAGCATGGAGGCTATTGATATTATTTCTTAAGAAGATATTGTGTTACATTTTATAAGATTTTTTCATGTTGGAGACATACTTATTTTTCACAACAACATCTGTTGTTATCATAACAATTACCTAAGAAAAATCCTTTGCTACTACAAATTTTAGTGCAAGCTCTGCTGTCTCTAGAAGGGCACACCTCTGCCGATACGAAACATACAATATCTTCGCCATCTAATATTCCATAATCTGTATAAAGAAAAATCGGTAAATCAAATTATATATATGTTGAAAAGACTAAACGATGCTCATAATCAGAAAATGAAGGTATAAAAATAAAGTATTACTTGGAAGACTAGCAGTTGTACGACAATGAACAGAAGATGTGATGAAGAAGATAGTGAACAAAAATGCGAAGAAAGTCTTCATATTGATGGCTAGCTATGCTCTTATTTTATTTTTGTTTGTAGGTATTTCTTTGTCTAACCTCGTTATATATAACACAAGTATACCCCCAAAATAAGTATTGTCTTGGTCAAAGATTAAAAAGGAACATAAAAATTCCTTTAGTTCCATATAAATCTATAGTCAAAAGACAAACACATTTTGACATATATCTTTATATATAATAAGCTAATAACACATATATACTTAAAACAAAATATAGTCTTGGTCAAAGATATTCTTATCTAATTTGTACGTTTGAATATAGGTGAAATGATGTGTAGTTTGTAATATATGTAATTTGTTTTCCCCATATTTCATTGGATTTTCAAAATCAAATTTACAATATTAGTGGTGATAATTAAAAATTATTTGTAAAGATTTCCAAACCCTGAACATAAACAAAAAGAAAACCAATTTATCGTGTTTAACTATCAATCAACATCTACCAAACGTTTCCATAGTTCGATTTCGTGTTACTTTGAGTGTAATTGCTTCAAAACATAATAAGGTTCGGTTCAAATCTTTGATCGATTAAATTTCCACACGAAACACAATATAAACCAGTAACAAGGTGCTGAAATTCAAGCAGAGCTATTAAGGTGAAGAAGTGCGTCATTTAACGTGCCGCGTAACTATGTATTGTAACAATAACAGAGGACTACGAGAAACTGTGCTTACAACCAAGTGCCAAAGATGATTCAAATCTAAAGACATTCTCAAGTTTATCTACTTGTGATCATACAATAGCTTTTGCAGTCATCAGTTGAATTTGGGACTGAAGTAGAACTCCGGATCTTGGAAAAACCTGTTGAGAGTCTCAGCCTTTTCAGAAGAGAGGTCTGTGTTTGCTAAAATGTCCTTTTTGGATGTTTTGGCGATAGCTTCAATCGAACCAATTGCTTGGTATAACTGTAACCAACCAAAGGAGACATATACATGAGCAGTACAAGGTCAGAGTCTAACGTTAGAACAGTTCCATGTTTACAGTATAATAAAGATGCAAGTTGTTCTTGTATTGTATGCACAGTTCATAAGTATAATAACATATCACCGTGTTTGCATCATGTTTGTTAATGTTGGGTATGGATGTGACAAGTCTGACGAACATGTTCGTATCCTGCACACTTCGCTTTCTCTTCACAAAAAAAAGGAAAAAGAAGGAAGCTTTAGAGGTCGCCAAAACAGATCCTTTTAGGGAAGCTGATCTTTGATAACATACCTCAGCTTTGAGTTTAGACGCCACCTTCTGTTGCTTGCACACTGCAGCTCAAGTTTCAATCTAATTCAGTTACTCAGAAAAAACGTATAACTATCAAGCTTAACACTGACCAAATGAGCCTTACCTCCGCGAGAGTGAGCAATCTTAACAATCTTCTCGAATCCCATCTCGGCATCAGTGACTTGCACAAACGCAGGTTTCCCAAACTCCATCTCGTACCTAATGAGAAAGAATCACCGAGCTTCAATTTCAGCAGCGGCGAAAAAAAAGATGGTTGCAAAGAGATAAAAAGATCTATAAACCACTCACTGGAAGTAAGATCTCACGAAAGAATCACTCTGCTCTTTAGTTGAAAGTGTGGCAACAACGTATAGTCTTGCAAATTGCCCTTTCAGCCTCTTAACTCTGCAGAGGTGATGAAGTCAAAAGGAAAAACACAAGGAGACAAGAATAGAGAGATGTTGAAAGTATAAAAATGGATAGATCACCTGCTGAAGATGGAGGCAACATTGCAACAATCCCATTTCGTCACAAAAACAAAAGCAACAGAGACGCCTCCACAGTTGAAGATCAGATCCTAAACACAGCAACACTTCTTTTAGCTAATTTTGATCCAAATCTCAGAAAGAATCTAAGCAGAGGAAAGCACATACAGGGGAAATGGAGACGAAGTTAAGACGGAAAGAGTTTGAGCTGAGGAATGCTGATATGAATCTGATCAGTGAAGGCTCTTGTTCATCTTTCCACGCATTGCTCATTATACAAACACCAGCTGCGTTTCCTGCCAATTAACAAATCAGAACATCAGATTCTACGGTGCTCTCCCTGAGATTTTACATCGGAATTCTGTAAACTAATCCAAAATGAAAGCTTCTCATCGGAGTACAAACACAAATGTATAAGGCCGATTCTCGTCACTGTGAAGTAGAAAATCACAATTCGTCAGCGGAATTTGCACAGTGATGAGCTAGAATAGCAATTATCGACATTCATACATCAGAATCCAGCAGATACAGAGTCTAATCCAACATTTCAACGGAAAGAGCTTCTCTAACAAATCGACACCGAAATAGCAAAACCTAGACTATAGTGATGGTGTGAATCGGAGAATTCGCTAAAGGAAAAAGAGTACCTAGGTTCGCGAGAGATGAACGGACTTGATCTGTCGAGGCACTGTAGCTTGATCCCGTAGTCGCCATCGACGAACCTCGAGAGTTTTGAAGACGAAGCAATTTGGCGGATGTTGAAGAAAATCTGGATTCGTATATTATTTCGAAATTTGGTTCTCCACTCGTAAATTCCACCGGTATATGCTCATAACGTATAACCGGCGATTATTTTTGCAATGTTGATTCCGGTTTGAGGCATATTTTGAACCGGAAACCAAATTTTTCCATTAGTTATTTTATGTATATAGCTTAGGATGATGGTGGAGTTAATCAATTGTTAAATCCACTTAGTTCGTTGAACGATTGTCTTGTTTCCACTAGAAAACTATAATATACTTCATTCCTCAAATGAGAGGTGGTGATTCTGTTCTTTTTTCTTCAGTTTCTACCTTTTCACATTACAAAAGCTCTTAAAATTTTACATTAGAAGATATGACAAGTCTTTGGCTGATAACACTTCAGAAGAATAACGACCAGTGGAATCATTCATTCCTCAATGTTCTCTCATTCTACTCTGTTGGTGCAAGACATGATTGTAGATTTCATCTCTTCTTTGCTCAGTGATGCTTCAACAATCAGCTGCAATCAATAAACAGTCCAAAATAACCGAATCATTTAAAGTTTCAAAAATGAGGACATTAAGATTTAGATCATCCTCATTCTTTCTTTACCTCTTGCACTCTGTTTCCAGCTCGAGCAAGCAGTTTGTATTGGTTCTCAAACATTGGCGCCATATAAACCTACACAGAGACATTGCTCAAATACCTAACGATGAAAAAGTTCATATCTTTTGTGTTTAACATGCAATAAAACAGAGTACCTGAAACGTTGGAGCAAGACCCGGGCTCAAGAAGAAACGACTTTTTGAAACTGACTGGATTCCTTCAACCATTTCCAGCTCTTTGATCAAAGATTCCACATCAGGCCACTGCAGAAGAAAGATTTTCACAAATCCGTAATAATGATTTTGATCACAAACACAAAGAAGAACAGTATAATACCTCAGCGTCGAGCTCTGCTGCTTGTAACTTTCCCAACTGATCATTATCACCAACTACAGATTCTAAGGCTTCGGTTAGAGGATCAGGCTGTATAAAGCAGATAATAAAAACGGATGGTATAAGTATCAATTACAAGCTGCCATTTAATATTTTACAAGGAAATGAAATTTTTTGGAGATCTCTCTCACCGTGATTTCTTTTAGCGACAAGAAGATACGTTCAAGAGCAAAATCCAGCTGGTGCACTTTAGCCTCCACAGTCTGAAAAACACCAACAATGAAAAACGAGTTTGTCAAACAGTTTTATTATTTAGCAGCAGCTTATACGACAGTTTCAAGATCATTACCTGACCGATCTTGAAATATGAAGCAGGATCTAAAGTTGCATCCCATGAAACTTCTGATTGGTGAATCAATGCAGGGACACCTTCTAGCTGTTCCAACCAAACTTTTTTAGTGTTACACAGCAATATGGATTCTTAGAAAGAATGTAGTACAAAAATATGATAAACTTAGGTATAGTACCTCACAGAAAATACCAAAATAGGTAATTTTCTTGATGCAGCATTTCACAACATCCCCAACGCGAAGCTTAGCCATAAGGTTTCGTTTTTTCTCAACTTCTTCTTCGTTTTCCCTCGGCCTCATTGAAAATATCAGCTTCCTTGAGTGTCTATTAGCCATAACCACATTCACTTTGATTTTCTGCATTGAGTAAAATTGTTTAGAGAGAGGAAAAAATAGGCATTTTCATGTAAGATAGTAAAAGTTTTTAAGATTTTTTGTGGTCAAACCTGGCCAACGTAAGACGACAGGAACTTCTGCTTCTCTCTGTCATACACCATAAGAAGATCTTCCAGCTTCATATCAGAAGAAACTTCTCCATTGACTGTGTTGCCAACTTCAGAATCTACTAAGCTTGAATCTGGAGATGGAGCTTTACTCGTGACATCTTGGCCTCCAATTACTCCAAGGTTTTGTCGGTACAACGATGGATCCACACCTTTTCTTCTCAACCATGATTCAAACGCGAGAAATTTCCATTTTGCTGCAAGGTTCCGGTAGGGCAAAAAGCCAATCAAAGATCCAAATGAAACCTGTAAAAACACAGAATTATGAAAGAAAAAAAAAAGAAAAAAGATGAAATTAATGAAACCAGAAAAGGGATTACTTACAGCAAATCCTCTAGTGCTCGAGCTTATTAGCTCCACATCCGCTCGTAGTTCTGTCTTTACAAGAGACTCTGCCTTATACCAGTCACTTTCCTATCAAATTCACACAAGAAACGTTTATGATATGCATTCTTAGCTTATGAACGAATAAATGGTAAAACAGAATTAATTCTAAACCTCCAAGGAAGATCTAGCAGGAGGGCCTTTGAGCTCAACAGAGACCTGACGACCTTCATGGTTCACGATCAATGGCTGTCCTCTGTTTGGCTCTGTAGAAGACGGATCTAATCTATAACAAAATCAACCCAGTCAGCTAAAATGAGAAGAAATATATAAAAAATCCGCAACAGAACTAATCAAGATACTAAACAGGAAGTAACCTTTGTGGTTTCCCTTGTAAAGAGGCTTCAACGACGGTCTGAGAAACTGGAGTCAAAGGAATGCTCTCCACCGGATCACTGTTAAATGTTTCCTCCTCAGAGGATTCTAAAGACGACACCTCGCTACTAAGCTGCATTTCTTGATAAAACGAACAAGCATACGAATCAGCTCCATGTTAGACTATTTGTAAAAAAGGTCATAGCTTTGTCTCTATCTATTATTACCAGTAGGAACTGATGTACTTTCTATCTCTGGCAATTCCACAGCTTCCTCTTCTACGTTCTCAGGCTCGGGCTTAACTACTGGCTTCTCCAAAAGTGTATACTCTGAATATACTCCATCTTCTTCCTCCATAGTTAATCCATCATTGAGAAGCTTATCTCCAGAATTCTCCTCTTCTGCATCTACCTTCACTGGTTCCGGTTTTCTCAACAGTGTCATGTCACTAAACCTCTCGTTTTCCCTCTCATTCCTCATTTTCAGAGTCAGATTACGTTTCAACCGCAGCTTAGACTCATCATCGTCGTCGTTGTTCACATAGTACGAGCTCGGCTTTCTCAGTATAACATTAGGCAATGTCCTTTTCGGAGGAGCAGCAACTTGAGCAGCCTCCAACGGCTTCTTCAGAGCAGGGTTTGGCCTTTTCATCACTGGCTTATCCGAAGTTTCGAATTTGACTCCGTTTCTCGGAACTGGCTTTACTAAATTCAAGCCGTCCAGTGAACCAGATTTCTTCTTCTTATCTTCCTTTGACCAATCCAACGGAATCGATTCAATGTCTGGCATTTTACCCTTGTTCTTGTAGAATGACTTCTCAACTTCGACGAACGAAGCATCTGGATTCACTTTTCTAGCCACTATCTGTATAATCATCAGCAAAACATAAAATTCGAATTTCCTTGAAAATTTAATTGAAAAAAAAAACGAAACTTTAGAATCTAACCTTAGCCAAAGTCAATTTCGGGTCTTCGCCGAGTAAACGGCCGAAATTGAGCTCCATTTGATCCCATTCGTTGAGCTTGGGCTCTTCCCTTTTCGAAGCGGAAACTATAAACTTATTCTGTCTAGCTGATAAAGTATCCTGGCTTCTTCTCACTATGACCTTACACGGAGGCAACTGGAAGTTCCCGGCGAAAGAAGCGGCGGCGGAAGCGGAAGAGGATAAGGCGAGAACGTCCATTTTCCGATTAAGCTCAGAAATTATAATGATATCGCCGAATTAGAATCATGGGTCCGACCAAAATATCGAATTTCGTTTATGTCGAGTGACGGTGTAGCTCGAGCTCTGGCTCTCACAGTCTCACTCTCGCTCTATGTGGACGAACAGAGGAGAAATGGCTATGGCGGAGGGAGGAGCTTTATCAGTTTAGCTTTGCATATTTTCGCTTCCTGGTTGTACCAGTGATGAAACGACACGTGGTTGATGAACGAGCAACTAAGCCATTGCATTAACGTCTTTCCGTTCTTTCGCTTAAAAGATGAACACCACGTCGTTTAAACACTGCCTTAAACGTCAACCAAATGATCTTCTTTCTCACATAGACGACATGAAGTCCCTTGAGAAATCTCTCTCACACACGGCGTCGCAATGGAACTAAAGCCTATACAATTTAGTTAATGGGTTTAAGAATCGGCCCTTAATGGAAGGGATGATTCCGCGTAACTAGAGAAATGGTCACACGTGAAGAACAGACAAAAGAGCTAGCGGAAAGTAAAATCCATCGAATTAATTATGCTATGTTGGGTATGAAAACTATGGTATCAAAATCCATCGAATTCACTAGAACTAGGTTCCACTAGTTGGTTGTTATTTCACATAAATATTGACAAGCATATACTAAAAGTACAAATAACGGAAAACAGTTAAGGCAACCAAATTATTTTGTATATATGCAAACCAAATAATGTTTGTGCCAAAACATGGAACCTAACGCCCACAGTTTTACCCCATCTATAAATTAAATACTTTCACTCTTTTCACTTCAACACATTCAAAAGATTGCAAACTGTGTGGACCTAAACCATTTCTTTCATTTTCTTGAAACACCCCCAAAGATTTTTCACTTCTACAGTCTCGTTGAAGAGTATTTTTACAGAAATAGAAGTTGCTCTAATGGATGTCTTTATATCAGAAGAGTATGTCAACCGCCGGAGAATGGAGAAAAAAGCTGCCGCCGTTGCCGGAAAAAACTTGAGGTTAGGCTTTAGTTCAATCAATGGACCGGAAAAGAGAAAAACCACTACTCGGATGGCGGAATCTCGCCAGGAGAATGAGTTTCGTGTCAACGGCGGTGGTGTTTATGAGAGTTTTGTGTTCCAATGCTTCTCGCCGTAAAGAAAAACAAGAGCCTTCGCGTTTGGTGATTCAATGCAGACACAATTTGCACATGCATGCGCGGTTATTAGTGGCTCTTGTATCTTTCATTCTCTTGTATCTCTTGGTTTCTATTCGTGGTCAGGACTCTTAACATGTTTTTTTTTTTTAAACAGTCCAAAATTCATAACCAGTAAAATAACAGGAAAGAAAATAAAGAAAGTCTTGTTGTTCGTCTCATTCCACCAAAAATAGGCGTAGATTAGAAGCACTCAAAATATGATTAAGTCTCGAATTTGACTCGCTTAATTTGAAACTCTCCATATTTAACGAGAACTCATTTACCGGAAGTAACTCTCGTGAGTTAGTTGATTCTGTAAAAGACTAAAAGCTTAACCGTTTTCAAATAACCGATCCGATCTCATTGCTGACCGGTTATACTTAGTAAAGAAAATTTTCAACTGAAACTTGGTGAGGTGTGCCTGGCCTTCGCAATAGTGCAAGACGAAGGCGACACGTGAGAGCCTAGTCAGCAAGCTGACTCGGCAGACTCTCCCCCATAAAAAATAGAGTTAATATCAAGCTAAGCCCAATGAACCGCATATCAGATATTAAACTGATAAGAACAGATACTACACTTGATCTTAGCCAAAAGGCCGAGAAAGGTATGGATTGAATGTCGTGTCAGCGACTGTTTTTATATGCGTTGTGTTAGAGCAAAGGAATCGTGAATTATCGATGTGGGACTTAAGAAGCCGAGATAATGAAGTATTTATATGTCGGTATCTAAATATTTAGGCCCAAATTATATATTTCTAAATTTGGCCCATTATTTGGTTTGACAATTAGATCTTAGATACATATACGAATACGATGATATAGGCATCAATGGACAGTATGGACTTGCAGAATTGTGATCTAGTAGCAAAACTTTGAGAAAACGAAAATACAAAAAGATGTATATACATACATGTTAAGAAAAAGAATCCAGTGCTTGAGAAAAAATGAGATACGATATGATTTTATTTTATTATATGTATCTAATCTTATTCTTTCTGAGTGGGTGTGGATAGATTCGGCAACAACTAACCTTCAAAAGATTTTGTGCTGGTCAAACCTTTTTCATAGCCAAAAAAGGTAAATAAGATGTAAACATTTCATGGACAGTTTTTCTATTAATATGGACAGAAAAGGTTTTAATAAAGTAAAGTAATAAAATGAAGGAAAATGAAAGTCAAAAACAATTTTGCCCCCACCTTACACGAAGCATCAATTCAAAATGACAACTCATCAGCTCTCCTCCAAGGTTTTTTCTTAATTAGTTGATTGTATTGAATTTCCTATGAAAGTGAATTGTAAATTTCCTGTAGGTTATACTAATAACACACAATTCTAAATGATATCCAGATTAGACAACTTTAGTCACTACACATGCACGTATACCTGCAACTGATAACTACTTAATTAATCCATAACGTGTAAAATCAATTTTATGTAATCCGTAGACTACCAATCACCAGTTAACCAGTGACACTTTCACCTAAATTCTCATAATTGTTTATCTAAAATGTTATACATAGAAAATGTAATGAGAATCACCTAAAAGAAATATGAGAATGTGGATCAAAATTGGAAGATGACCATATATATTGATGTACGTATAATATAATTTAATATCTTATATATGTCTATGAATCTACTTTATAATTGCTTAGTTTTGAATTTGATGATATATTTTTTGTTAAAATTTATTAATTTTGAATTTGATGATTCGTCACCAAACAACAAAAATCTTATCTCTATCATCGAAACATGTAAAATACTGCTGAAAGATAACAAAATACTTTTTTTAAATGAATATATTCTGATCATGGTGCATAAAAGTTGTACATTTAGCGACATCCAAATATAAAACTTTATAAAGAAAATAAATAAATAAAAGAAGAGCTGACTCTAGAAATATGCATATTCCAATTAGGGCTATAAAAGGGGAGCAAATGTGGGAGATACATAGCAAATTGTGAGGATAAATGACAAGAAAAATAAGAGAGAAGATAGGTTTTACATGAAGAAGAGAGTTAGTATTTGGTAGCCAAGGATGACTTGCCTGCGCCTAATTCTTCTCAATGGTTCAATCACAAGAGCAATACAAAATTGTAGCTTATAATTCGATTGAATCTTGAGGGTTTAGATTTCAGGCAGTCTCCTTGGCTATTTTAATATGCTTTCTTATTCATGTTATACCTTTTCTTCTTCCAAGTTCCAACTATATACGAAAATATGTTGTCTAGATCTGTCACATTTTCTTGTGTTGATACTTTTACTTTCCATGTCTATTTTGTTGAAGTTTAATGTTCATTTCAATTTTCAATCACATTTTTATTTCATTTTCAATTCAATTATTGGTTAATGGTTTTTATACATATATTATATACAAGCTAAGTTTTAGATTTCTTTCTCTTTTTGAATTTAATGTATAATATTCATAATAGAATATATAATTTGTCTAACACTTTTATTAACTTCATATGATTGTTATAGTTACATACTTACATAATGTTAATGTTTAACCTCATGTGAACTTACACATGTAATGTAGTTACGAAACTATATACTTATTTCATTATTTTCGTAACAAAAAATAGGCACGCATGAAAATTAATCAAGTTATATAAGTGAAAGTAAATGAACGTGGCTTGCATGCATAATGAACGACCCCCAAGTAATCGTTTACATTTTGAAATTTATTTTTCGGAATCAAACAGATTTGAGGAATTTTGGGTCTCAAAATGTCGGTCAAATTTTTGGGTCCACATTTTGGCAAGCATCTGTAAACAAAGCTCTCGTAGAATTTGACAGTGAATGTTCTTTCTGAAAATCAATTCATTCACAGGAAACAAACAAACCCTTGCAATTGTTTTGTTTTTCTTATTAGATCTCGCTTTATCAACAACACAGTAGTACTGAGTAAAATTGGTAATTGCCTCGCGTTGGTAACTCGTACGTATATGTCTCTTATCTTGGATTCTTTTGTTTGAGTACATTCACTAACATAAAGTACTTGGAATCACATATCAGCGTCAGTTTATAGAGATCACATACACAGCACATATATGAAGATAGGAGCTGCATCGTAAAAAGCGAGTAACAACACATTTGAGCTCTGCTTAATATACCACGTTCATGTTCATATTCATATACAATCTACGTACCAACAATCAACAATGTAGTCGTTACATGTAATCATCTGGATTTAAACAGAGTTACATATAAAACATACCCAATTATCTGGCTAGCTACTGAATAATTAGCGGTCAGGCCCAATTGTGAAACTTTAAAAGGGCTTTATTGCTATTGGCCCAAGTCCGATGTGAACGTGACCGACACGATTGACAACGAAACGTGACTGTACTTGAAAAGGAGAAAAAAAGACAGCTTGACAGTTGACACTTCCGACAAAGTCAATGAAACTGAAAGTAACTTTTTTTTAATCTTCCAATTATATTTTTAATTAATTCGTTTCTTTTTCTTTCGATAATCCCAATTCCCAAACTCTGATTCTCTCCCCTCAGACAGAAAGCGAAATTGGATTTGGAAAAAAGAAATGAGCTACGACAAAGTCCCACCGGAATCGTATCCTCCTCCAGGTTCGTTCTCATGATTCACGTCTAATTCGATTCCTTTGTTATTGTAGTTCTCGATTCTCTGATTTTGATCGATTGTAAAATCTGATTTTTAAAAAATCGGAACGAATAGGATACCAATCTCACTATCCTCCTCCGGGTTATCCATCGGCGCCGCCTCCGCCGGGATATCCTCCGCCGCGTCACGAAGGATATCCTCCACCTCAGCCCCACGGATATCAACCGTATCCACCACCGTCATCACGTCCATACGAAGGCGGTTATCAAGGTTACTTTCAGGGACCGCCGCCTCCTCCTCCGCCGCAACACTACAATCACTACCAGCAAGATCATCACCATTACCAAGATTCTGACTCTGGTTGCTTCTCTTTCATCCGTGGCTGGTCAGTTTCTCTACTTCCCTCTTTTTTTATTCACTTTATCATTTTCCAGAATCACTTTACTTGTGTGGTTTTCCTGCAACTTCATTATTATGTGTGCAGTGCAGTGATTCGATTCTTGTGTTTTTTGGGTCAATATTGTTAACTCATTGGTCTGTTGAAAGCTATGATTGAGTTGAGCTGTATATTGGCTTTTCGATTCTTATCTGACAGAAGCGCAACATGTGGGTTTAAAGGATCTCTAGTTAACGTTTAAGGTTCACTGAACGAGTGTTTTCGGAATTTGGGAATATTTTGCTCAAATGATCCTCATCAGAACAAGATTCGTTGAATTGATATGTGGATAAGTCATAAATGTGAGTTGAATTTAGACAGCTAATTGAAACCTAGAGTTCCGTAGGGAATACAGAACTGACTATTATTTCCTTTTTTTTTGTGGCCACAAAATCTGAATTTGAGTGCAAGATCGAGATTAGTTTTTAGATTGTGACAGATTTGTCATTGGCAACCTAATGTAGCCTAAATCTTTTGTTAGGTTCTTCATGTTGTTGTTATTGGTCATCTAAAATGTAACCTAACCTTTTTGTTCCTTTCGTGGTTTGTTGCTTAAGGTTATTAATTTTCATGTGTTCTGTTTTGTGATTTCTTCTTATAAATTTGCAGTCTTGCTGCTTTCTGCTGTTGCTGTTTGTTGGAGGAATGTTGCTTCTGAAGAATGCCCGTCTCTGCGGCTCTCTTGTTTTCGTCATTTACAGTCCCCGCTATTATACTTTCAATCGAAGACATATGCCATAACTCTCTATGTCCTATTATCATGTTTCATTGTTCTGTTACCTCGTCGTTTGATGAGAGTGGGTACATCAAGAACGTGGATTATAAAAAAAAAAAATGTCTCCTGTGAATGTTCTCTGTAATCTTTATGTATTATTTGAAAAACGACATGTTTGATATTTTCCCCAAATTTTACATCTCAAAGACTGATTCGAGTAACGTTTCCATTTACACTTCTTCAAATTCCCAAGTTTAAGGCAGATCAAAAGTAGCAAGTAGCATGATACTAAGAATCGCCAAAAAGAAAAGGTTCAAATTACAGGAAGCTTCATAGAATCGGTTCTTGTCTGAAACACATAGTACACCTAAAACTGGAGAAAGAAAGGACATCAAAAGCCAACATGAACCATAGCGAGAACCGGTCGGGAGAGGTGTGGGAAATGGGAGACTAAAGAATCCTAACACAAGGTGGTGCGTCTTTTCTAGTCCCAACCACTGTTCGGTAAAGGTAAAGCCTATCAACCTTCTCTCTCTCGTCTTCTTCATTCCGCTCCACCCGACTATTCTCATTCTCGTTGATGATCTCCACGTTGAGCCACGGAGCATTCCTCGCGAGCCTCTTGCAGCCACCGAGCGTTACTTCACAAGACGACATCCAAAGGGATCGCATTGTCTCGTACTTGTCCACGTCAGCAAGAAGCGCCGCGTTCCCAAACGGACTGTCTCTAATCTCCAGCTTCCTCAGCTTTTTGCATCCGTTCAACACACACAACATCCCTTTGTCAGTGTCCCCTGCAAACGCTATCGAAAGCATCTCGAGCTGCTCCGCGTACATACCGATGTAGATGAAGACTTGGTCAGTTAACAGACCAGAGACAGAGAGTCGTCTTAGTCCCTTGCAGGCTTGTACGATCGCACCAAAGCCTTCGTCTAGCGATTGAGATGTGACGTGGTCAGGTTTGTTCGGCTCTAGGATGCACAGCCTGAACCTGATGAAGTTCGGGCAGTTTTTAGCAACGGTTATGAGCGCTGCGTTTGTCATTTGTTTGCAGAAGTAGAGAATCGAATGAAGTTTGGGACAGCCCGCGGAGATCGCGACTAGCCCCACCTCAGTCACAGCTGCGTTGTTGTCTTCTTCACCGTGTAACTCAGAGGGGAAAACCCTCAGCTCTTGTAACTCTTTACATGAAGAAGCCACGATCTCAAGTCCTTCGTCGCCAATACTATCCAATATCTGCAAAAACCATAAAAAAAAACCGTTAGATTAAAAAACGCATTTTGATGTCTGCTTAGCAAGCAAGAGAACAAACTTACCCATAACCGTTGAAGTCTCTTGCAAAACTGAATATATTTGATGAGGTGGTTGCCTTGGATCTCAGCTGCATAGCTAAGATTCAAGGAGATAAGGTTCTGGCAAATCGGGTAAAACGCTGGGAGGCAACGTGGAGCGACCTCTGAAAAGCCAGACAAGCTCCTTAACAATGTGCATTTTTCTATAGCAGCCATGAGTTTCGCAAAAGCTTCTGGATCCGGCTCGTTCTCGTAAGACCCGACTCCCAAGTCCACTAGCTGCGGTGCACAAGTCATCAACCTCGTGAGCGCGTCGAGCGGCACAGCTCGGTTCACCTTCAAGCTCTTGAGGTTCGGCGACCTCGCCACGAGCCTCTCTAGAGCAGCCAGGTTGGTTTCTCCTTTGAGACACGCGAAATTCAACGAGGTGAGAGTCGTGCACGTGTCTGGGAAACAGTTTAGCCATTGCCCTCTGTGATCATCGATCTCGTTCTCTTGCAGATCCAGCTCACGAAGATGCCTAATAAAGATCATCATCAATCACTGTATACTAAGATTTTGTTACTCGATTAAACCAAAAACGGCGACGTTTTACCTGCAATTGGCGGCAATGGAGGCTAAGCCGTCGGTGGTGAAGCCTTCGCAGCTGACAAGGACCAAGGATTTGAAATTTGGAAAGGAGCGTGAAAGCAGCTCAAGGCTTTCGTCGGAGACAACCATCCGCTTCAATCTCAGCTCCTCGAGCCCCACGCGGGCCTTGGCTAAAGCATCGATCCAAGGGTGGACGAAACCTCCCCATTCGTGAGGAACCAAATTGAAGTCGGCGAAATGAGGCTTGCCTTTGAGAGTTAGGGATTTGAGAGAGGGAAACCTCCCGATTAGCCTCTCCGGGTTGATCGCGTAGCAGTTTCCGATGAACACACTCCGCCTGCTGCACCGCTCGATCTTGTGCCACGATTTGCTCACCAGAGATATCGAGTTCCTATCTTTGTGACAAGCTATGGAGTCGAAAATGTGCTCTATCACCTCCTCCGGGAAATAATTCATCTTATCCTTGATAATTCACCGGAAAAGGAAGACGAATTGAGATCGGAAGTTCACAAAATGGAGTAGAAAATTCAAGTCGTGGATTTGAATTCGGGTCAATTTAGGAAGCTCTGTAGGAGAGAGAGGGAGAGGGCGATTCTGCAGGAAAGCGAGATTCGTATTCAACGAGCAATTTTGAAAAATCTCGAGCTCGATTAAACAAAGAAACAAATCTATGAACTAAGCACTGAAGTTTTAGATTCAGATCTACAGGATAACGAATCAACTAGATCTACGAAGAATCGAGTAGCAAACCTTGAGCAAATAAGGATACTACAATCGTCGTCGGAACAAAAGTCGCTGATGATTTATAGAGAAGAAGAAGGAGAATCGGAAGCTCAACGAGGAAAACGAACGAGAATTATGAATGACTATTATAGATAAGCTTTGGACTGCTGCTTCAAGTCCAATGATGATGAGATGATCAAAGATTTGGATGAGAGAGAGTGGGAGAGAGAGAGAGAGAGAGAGAGAGAGATCACGCAAGCAAAAGCTATAGAAGAAACTCTCTCTCTTCTTCTCCATGGAAATGAAACTTTTAACCAGAGGGGAAGCTGACCAAAAACTAACCATGGTTAGGTTAAGCTCTGTGGGAGGGGGTGGATGATCCAACGGTGGAGATCGGTTCGGAGGAAAGCCGCAAAAGGAATCTTGACCGTTGAAGAGTGGTATGGTGTGCATGTGTTGCGACCACTGGTTACGAGGCCTTTCGCCAAAGAGAAAGGTTGAAGTGATGTGTTAGTGTCAGAGCAAAGGGACATAAAGAAAATGCCATCGCCTTTTTCGTTTTATTACGAGTTTGCCATTAAAAGCTTCACGACGAATAGGATATAATTTATTCCATACTCGAGAAAATCATATTCTGCTGTGGATTAATTAATTTATAATCTTTTTACGGTTGTTAGAAAGTGCAACAATTAGCAAATAAATAAAATCCATCGTACAGTCGTACTACATCGAGCATGGGTTATTACCAATTTAGACACGTATTTGAGTTATAAATTAGTTAAAAACATTAATCAAAATAAACTCATTACTATTAAATATTAATCAGTCAAAAAAATTAGTTAATTATGGGATATTAAAAAAAGGGAGCAGAAGAGAAGCAAGGTTGGCTGAATTTGTCGTGGGACGACGACACCATCGATGGATTTACGGAATTAGAAGGTCATGAAATTTGGTGTTTTTCTCTCTTTCAATTTTTAAAATATACATTGAATACTATTTTTCCTTACCAAACAAAATCAAAAGCAAATCAAACTCCTATCTTTTTCAAAGAAGGTGGTTATGGGTAGGGTTCAATCTCGATTATTCGTAAACTGTTGAAGTTAGACAAAAAAAATCGTAGTTTAATGTTCAAAACTTCATACAATATAAATTGAATTGCTCACTAATATTTTGTTTCAGCTTAGTAGATGTACAAGCTGAGGAATTTTTGAATAATTCACAGCTTTATAATATTTGTAAATATATTCTCTAACGACCAACAAATTATCAATCCAGAAGAAATAGACAAATTCTCAAGACAACAACCATTAAGAAACAAATTAAAGGAACCAAAAAGTGGCATAGGCTTCATAATCAAACTCAATAATAGACCCACTTGCAAATTATTACATTAAAGATATGGGTGAGGATGAAGAGTACACAAACCAAATCATTATTACTGGTTTGAAAGATTTCTCTTCCTTAACAGTCAACAGTAATGAACAAAATTGTGGTAAATATGGGTATTAACTAATCACCACCCGTCATAATCCTTCATTACACTTTACATTTTTGATTGCTTCTCCTCTGTATTACTCTTGATAGATATTTTGAGGATCTATCATGCTTTTCACAGAAACTCTGATAGTGAAATGTTTACATATCCGAAATGTCATATTTACTGTGTGAAAAAGGGACGAGTGATGATGATTTTACATCTCTTGACCCATCATATGCTACAATAGCTGCCATGTGAAGGCCACCTCTTTCTCATCCCTTTTGGTAATCATCTCCATTTTCACTCTCGGCCCAAAATTTCACCAGTTTTGGTTGACCTCAGATAATGCCTTAATTATTGGTTTTTACTGTGGAACCAAACTCCATCTCACCTTACTTCATATGAGTAAAGTTATCTGGTAAATTCCGATGTGACTCCTCCTTGTTTTAAAATCAACAATTTATTTATCTATTAAAAGAACGCTATATACTTTCAAAACTTTATTAATATAAATCTTTTGTTAACACCTATCGTTAAATTTTGGACATGACAATCAAGAAATTTGTGTTAACAAAAAGAAAAGAGAAAATACATCAATGAATCTGTGAGAAATCATATTCCGGATATCAAAATTTGGAATATCCGAAATTATAGTATCCACTGCAAAAGTTTTTGTTTCTTTCTTCTAGAACTCTTATCGTAATATTTTTATTTTCCCCAGCTTTTTGTTGGTTCATGAGATTCCTTTTCCTTTTATCCTACGAAGCCGAAGGCCAAAATTCAAAGGCCCCAAAAGCAGAGACTCATGATGACGCATGTCCCAATTATTAGTAATCTCTACATTACACATATCACCATACCAACCACATCCATATCATATCATATACGCTGACTGATACACATATTGATTGTATTCATGTATCTCCCAATTTGAGATTCCGAAAGGAACCCTTTTTCAGTTCTCATTGTCACTCCCTGGTGGTCCAGTTTTTTCTCTTTGCATTAAAAACATAAGAGATATGATTATATTCTCCTGACAAAAAATCTGTAATTCCTATAATTGAAGTATACGAATCTATGTTGAACATTATAACCCCTCAGAGATATTCGCTGCAACAACACTAGATTGAGTTGAGCAGATTTAGTCTACAAAGTTAAGTAAATAACCAGTCGCAAATCTAAGAACCAACCTCATGAGCATTACAATAAAATAACTACTTTATCATCGCCTTACAATCTTATGAGTTGTATTAGTCTCTTGACTACGTTGAAGACAACACATATAGGATTAGAACTGAAAGTTTCCATCTTTACTCGTCATCAACATCAAAAGCCAAAGAGCATTGCTTGTAGAGTGATGTAGATCATCTCTTTACCTAGCTTAGCTTAACTCAATCACATCTCACTACCCTCAATTCAAGTCTACGACTTAAGTTGCATTGCAATCAACCAAAAGGAACCCGAGAACATGAACTAGTTTGATTGGAACACTTACTACCGGCTGCACCATTATCTACTAAAAGAATGTCACAGATCTTTGAAGTCGACTTTCATTTCTCAAACAAGGGTCATCTACGCAGCTTATACAAAACTTTTAAGGATCATCCATGGCCTCCGTTAGAGTATAGTAAATCCTTGTACTATCTCTCACACATCTCAAATTCTTACTTGAAATTTCCCAATTCAAGACTAGTTTTTTCTAATGTACAGTTACAAGCAGCGACCTTAAAGCTACCACAGAACCGACAAAAGATGAGAAATTTATGCATCAAACGAATAAGATCGGAAAACCCAAGAGGCACATTTGAGTTAAATAGCAATTAACATGATAGATAGATATAGCCCACTTTGTTCCAAGCATTCGAAACATTAGATATGATCAATAATCACTGACAAGAGACAAACTCTCTGTAGAATCAAAGGAACTAAATCTCGATACCTTTACCACTAAGCTAAACTCTAAGCGTCACTATCGTCGCTGCTATCACCAGCCTCGTTGTTGCCGCCACGGTCGTTGGCGATGTAGACTCCAGGCTGGATCGATCGTCTCCTAGTCCCCGACGGCAGGATGTTATCCAAATCCACCTCCGCCAAAGAATCGTCGGACAAAAAGCTCTCGTCGTATTCATCACCACAGTCTTCATCATCATCACTGTCGTCGTCTTCGTCACTCTCATCCACCTCGATCATTTTCCCTTTTCCTTTGTCCTCTCTCGAAATGCCTTTCCCCTTCCTGTTAATCTCGGCTTCAACTGAGTCTTCCTCTTCCTCCTCGTCCTCCTCTTCATCACCCTCTTCTTCTTCCTCTTCCTCTTCATATCCACCTTCTTGCTCCTCTTCAGCACCCAGATCGCCGGCGACGCCATTCACATCCTTCTCCAGCTCCAACTCAGAACCAGCTGCTTTCTCCAGCGAAACCGACGATTCCGTCCCAATCTTCTCATCGGTGGAAGGACTCAGCTTCTCAACGCCGCTTCCATTAACTTCTCCGTCTTTGGACTCGGAATCAGCAGGAATCGACGAGGGATTAAGCTTCTGAGCCTTGCTCGCCACATTATCCTGCTCTTGGCAAAACAGATCCGATTTTCGCTTCACTGGAAACGAGGACTCCGGTTGATTCTCCACATCCGCCATTGATGAATCGTCGTCTTCCTCGCACTACAGAGAATTCAGGTTGGGTTCGAGGACGATTCAGAGTAAGCAAAACCCAGTCAATTTTGTGGCAACCCTAGACGTTTTCGTAGGGTTTCTCAATACTTATAACTTCTCTTTTTCCAGTAATTTCTATTTATTTTACCAATTGGGCTCAGCCCATTAGCCCATTTTCTCTTGATTACTTCGGACAAGATTTTGACAGGTGGCGAACGTGCCAGGAGATATTAAACCGGCCTAATGCTTCTATCATACCGGTTTGGTTTTCGACTCGTTTGTATATATTTCGAACCGGTTATCCATTTGACAGGTAGAGAAGATTGATTGAAGTACAGATCCATCATCGGAGAAGAAGAACGAGCGAGAGAGGAAGAGATTGAGGATCAATGACTTCGAGGTACTGGGTGGTGTCTCTACCAGTGAAGGACTCTGCTACTACGTTGTGGAATGGTTTACAGGAGCAGATCTCCAAGCATTCCTTTGACACTCCAGTTTATCGGGTACTCAGATTTTGCTCGATTTGAATTCTATTTGATTGAAATTGGAAGAGATCTCGAACAATTCTCGTGGTCAATCTAGTTTTGAGAAATGATTATGATCTAAGCTCGTCGATTGTTTGATTTCAATTTTCGCAGTTCAACATTCCTAATCTTCGGGTTGGAACCTTAGATTCTCTGCTCGCTCTCGGTGATGATCTGCTAAAGGTAATTCATCTGATCGTAGAGTGCGATTTCACGTTTTTGATTTTGCGTTCCTCTTTCGATTGAGAAATTTTGGTTGGTGATGAGGATCTATTGAGATGTTGTGCAGTCAAACAGCTTTGTGGAAGGAGTTTCGCAGAAGATCAGGAGACAGATTGAAGAATTAGAGAGGATTTCTGCTGTGGAGAGCACCGCTCTTACAGTTGATGGAGTTCCTGTTGATTCTTATCTCACTAGGTATCTGATTTTTTATCGCTTTCACAAGAGTTAAATTGCTATCTGGTGGTGATCAATTTCGGTAAAAACCAATTTTTTTTTTTTTTTTTTTTTTTTTTTTTTTTTTTTTGTGATTGCGTCAAGGTTTGTGTGGGATGAAGCTAAGTACCCGACAATGTCACCTCTGAAGGAGGTTGTGGGCAATATTCAGTCTCAGGTTGCAAAGATTGAGGATGATCTCAAGGTATTGAAGCTTTTGACCTTTAAGCAGAAAGAATAGCTGAATGATTCCCTTGGTATATTACTGCATAAATACAATACGACCTGTGTGTAGTTGGAATCTTTTGTTATAACTCATTTTTATGATGATCAATTGAATTGCTTTGGTTCATGTAGTGGTGTTAACGACTCTGATTGCACATTTGATTCAGGTTCGTGTTGCTGAATATAACAACGTCCGTGGTCAACTCAATGCCATCAACCGAAAGCAAAGTGGAAGGTAATTTATTTTTTGAATAACACGAAGTGATTTATCTGCTTTTCTCTGCTTAGCTTTTTAAAATATTTTGTGGCAATGTGGCTGATTTTCCTCTTTTTTTATGATTTGTTACAGCTTAGCTGTTCGTGACCTCTCAAGCTTGGTTAAGCCAGATGATATTGTCGCGTCAGAACATCTCGTGACTCTCCTTGCAGTTGTGCCAAAGTATTCCCAAAAAGACTGGCTAGCGTGTTATGAGACATTGACCGAATATGTGGTAAATTGATGATTTGTGGAGCTTTATGGACCAATCATAACACTATTATTTTGTCGCACATTGATCTTATTCAATCTTTTTGCAGGTTCCTAGGTCGTCGAAGAAATTGTTTGAGGATAACGAGTATGCTCTTTACACCGTCACTCTCTTTACTCGTGTTGCAGACAACTTCAGGATAAGTGCCCGTGACAAAGGGTATCAAGTGAGTCTTCTGATCTTGACCTCTAGAGGTTTCTTAGAAGCTAGAAATAAAAGCCTGCTAGTAGTAGTAGTGGCGCAAGTTAAGACACTTGGTTGATTCTCAAAGCTTTGTTCATTATTCTCTTTTAGGTTCGTGATTTTGAGCACAGCGTCGAAGCACAAGAGACTCGCAAACAAGAGCTAGAAAAGTTGGTTCAGGATCAGGAAAGTTTGAGAAGCTCTCTTTTGCAATGGTGCTACACCAGCTATGGGGAGGTATATACAAATAACTCTCTATATCCATACTCTTTGTAATATCATCTTCGAAATCAATACCCATTTGATTATTTCGTCTATATCTGTAGGTTTTCAGCTCATGGATGCATTTCTGTGCTGTGCGTGTATTCGCTGAGAGCATAATGAGATATGGTTTACCTCCGGCTTTCTTGGTAAAATTAAGACTCAAACCTCTGCTTTTCTAGAGAATCTCTCAACCCTGTTATAACTCTCTGACCAAACTACTTTCTCTTGTCATGATTTTGTTTACAGGCATGTGTCTTATCTCCGGCTGTGAAAAGTGAAAAGAAAGTACGCTCCATTCTTGAACGCATGTGTGATTCTACCAACAGGTATGTTAAAAGTCTAGGCATAGGATACAGTTTGTTGTATTTGATTTCGTTGAATTTGAGTTGCTGAGTCTCATTGTATGAAAACAATGCAGTTTATACTGGAAAAGCGAGGAGGATGCAGGAGTTGGAGGAGCCATGGCTGGTTTAGCCGGTGACTCGGAGACGCATCCTTATGTCTCCTTCACAATCAACCTTGCTTAAAACTGATGAGAGATGGCTTGATGTTTCTTCTCCGTCGCTGTCTACATCTGTTACATTTGTTTGTGCTCTATATATTTTCATTTTAAATTTTTCGTAATATATTTTGATTTTTGAAAATAAAGGAAGTGAAAAATGGAGGTGGCAGCACTCTAAGAGAGATGTTACTGTAATTTTATATTTGGCCGGAGTCTTTGTAGATTCCGGTGATTTCTGATACTTGTGGAGGAGAAGAGGTTATACAGTTGTTAAAGCCTTTTGTCATTTTGTTACTTGGCTGCTTATTTATATCACTCTGTTTCGTAAAGTCTCTTTGTTTTTTCTCGTTGGTTTTTTCGTAAGGACCGATTTCATGTCGGAAAATGTTCTGGATGCTAGCAATCATACAAACTGGTAACATTCGTAGCCGAGTGAAGATGCCAAATCGGGCAATTAACCAAAATATTTATTTGCGTATTTCTTGCAAATTTTCACTATTAGCTGACTATTATTTCTAGTTTTTACCAACCTTCGTTTTGACAAACTGTATTTTCTACTTTTGTATTCCTGAAACGATTTTTCGCTGTGTGAAGTGTTAACCAGCCAAAATCATTTAAGTTTTTTATATTTCTTATAAATTAGTTTTCATCCATCAGAAACATTAAAAGTCGCATATCATATCTCTTGTGGAATCCAACTTTCAATTGACAAGATTATACTCTTTTAGGCTGCATTTTAGGAAATTAAACTCTGTTGTATTTTATATAAATAAAAGAGAGATGCATACACATAAGTAAAACAGTAACAACGTTTAAAACCAAAAAAAAAAAAAAAACAGTAACAACGTAGTATGTGTTGAAGTTCGTGAGATTAAGACCAAAACAAAAAACTCAGAAGAAGGAACGATTACAACATTAATAAAGTACAGATAGAAAGCCACAGATCCCAACAATGACAAGAGCCACAGAAAGATCAGGACGGAGCCGCATGGAGCTGCCTGCAATCTTCCCCTTACGCTGTCCTGAGCTTGGACCAGGCGCGTCTGTTTCCGGAACAGGAGAGGAAGCAAAATCCTCTGGTCGAGTTTTGGTCGGAGTAGGGAAAAACGAAGACATATCTGGTGCATTGATATACGGCAAAACAGCTGGAGAAGCTGAAATTGTTGATTCACTGAAAACCGCAGTCCATTGAACAGATACAAGAATCATTAGAAACACAGAAAGCGAGAAGCTAGAAGACAGAGCCATGGTTGTTTCTTTTTTCTTCTCCTCTGCAAAAAGTAAGATATTTGTTTGCCAAGTGAGTATAAATAATAAAACAGAGAAGAAGACAGATTCGTTTGTTCCCATGTGTATATGTGCGTGTCTTACTAAGAAACAAGGAATTGATTGAATGTGTTCACGGACCAAAGTATGGGTCCTTTAACTGTTTCACATGCCTAATTTTTGGTTTCTTCCTCTTAAGTCATGTGACTTCATTTACCTCTTCTCACTTCCACCACCTAAGGTTAATGAAGTAGAAAAGCTTTCCGAGTTAAAAGATTTGTCAGAAAAGTTAATCCGTAGTAAATTAAAAGCGGTGGAGACTTTAGGAACTTGCAAATGATTCAGAACATAAGAATTTCTTTGATCATTAGTATAAGAATTACATAAGATACTTTAAGAAAGCTTGCAAATGAAAAGAATCAAACAAAACAATGAGGCTAAAGATGAAAATTAATGAATCCTTTAGCTTCTTTTTTTTTTCCATTTCTTTGTTTCTCAAAACAAACATACAAGAGGCTCATTCGTGGCAGTAGCATGTGTAATCTGCAAGCTTGTTGATCTTCTTCAGGCGTGTGAAGGTCTTGAAATTAATTTACCAGGCCGTTTCTTGTTCTGAGCTTTTAGGAAGAGTAAAAGAATTTGATGATGGTGAAGCTACAAGAGTCTAAGATGAGCGGTGTCATTTAACCGCTTTACCTGCCAACCGGTTTTCCAAGAATGCTGTAACACGGTCACAGAGGAATCCTCCACACAGATCTTATGCGTCATCACCGGGCTGCAACCGAGTATACCGGTAAGAAGACACTTTATAGGTAACGAATGCGTGAAAACGCCAATGCAGGCTGCGATCTGAGAAGAGGAACTCTTGGTGTTTATATCACCAAGGTGTTGTTCATCATTCTGATGACTAAATACTTCTTCATTAGCCTCATGATCACCGGTTGTGTTCGTCACCTGAAACCGGCTCTTCCCTGATTTCTTCCTTGTAAGACTCGGACGATGAATAGAAGCGGCTAGCGAGTGTGGACTCTGTGAGAAACTTCCTCGAGCATTGTTGTTGTGATGCGTAGAAGGAAGCAGCTCTGACCTGAGCTTCTCCGTAAGTCCTAAGAGCGTCCCGTTCAGAAACTGAACCATCCGACACTCGACTTGCCTGAGTGATTCGCCTGACGGAGCTGAGAAATCAGGTTGGCATCTTTCTATCAAGCTTAGAGTTTCAGGTGTGTACATCTCCGATCTATGTAATCCTTCCCATTCTCCTAGACTCATCTCCACAATCCCATCTGAAGACTGTACATGCTCCTCCGGAAAATTCATCTCCTGCATCAAGTATCAATCCAGAAAACCATTTTACAAAACCACATTTCTTCTTGCTAAGCATCCTAACTAGTTTCCATAGCAGTACTAAATTGCATGAAGCTGAAAGATTTTTACTTTATGATGCTAAGAAACACAATAAAGTCTCAAACTTGTCAAGATTCAATTTCATAGCATCACAAGAGGAGGAATTTGATTCGATCTTAGAAGATAATAGACTGATTCAGGTCGAATTGGTTTCTATTTCAAGTCGATGCACACAGCCTTAAGATCTAAAATGTGACTGTGGAGGATAAATACCTGGCAAACGGAAACGGCCATGGATCTAGCTCGATCAAGAGGCGAAGAGAAGACGGAGGTGAATCGAACACCTTCGGAGTTTAAGAACACGGCGAGGGCTCTCGCCTGGCGTTTTCCATTGGGTGTGAGAGCGGCAACGTGGCACCTCCCTCCGATCAGATCAGGCCTGAGATTGAGATCGCACTCTCCGTGGCTGATGAAATAGACTTCCGTCACGGCGGAGCGATCGTGTTCACCGGTGGAGGAGATACGGGAGAAGAGAGGAGGAGCAGGAGGTGGCGCGAGGACGTTGTAAGGGTCCCAGACTTTGATCGAAGGTCCGATTCGAGGCGTTCCGAGGGAAGAGAGCTGAGGAGAGAGTGGAGAAGCAGAGGCGTGACAAGGAAGCATCTCAGGCTCTTGCTCGAGAACCTTCTTCACCAAGAGATTATCAAGCTCTGTTCTTATGTTCAATCCGCCATTAACATCTCCCTCTTCCTCTTCTTCTTCTTCTTCGTCTTCTTCTTCTCTACCGTCGCTTTCTGCTTCTTCATCTTCTTCGTCGAGTGCTTGCGAAGACTGTGATGACCCCATCGTCTCTTTCGTTCAAAGTACAGTGGCGACTGGCGAGCTTAAGCCGATAGACTAACATGGAGAACCATTTTCAGATCTGAAGATGGAGACGGAAACCTCCGTTTTACAATCTCGATGTCACGGCCCAAATTTGAAGTTTGTCACAAATGTTGGGCCTGGGTCCATGTTTTTGATTTTGTTTTTTTTTGTTTTTCTCTGTTACCCCTCCATATTTTTTAGATTTGTAATAAAACGAATTTGATCTGATGGTAATGGAGAAACTGTACTTACAAAAACAAAAACGAATATTTTGACTGTATGTGTATGCTGGCAAGAAAAAGGAATCAAGCGTTACACAGTAAACAGCAGTGTGAAAACTTGTTGTTTTGTAGGATAAATTTTGTTCTAGCAAAAACAATAATGCAGTACTTTTATTTGTTTTTAAAATGAGTGGATGTAAAAGGAAGATGAAAAAAAGGGACCATGGCCTCGTTGTTATAAAAAAAGGGACCATTTGCTTCCGACATCTTTTATCCCAATTAATCTTCATATACTTTTTATTCATGTCAATTTTCTTCGCTTAATAATAATATCCCAAAAGGCAAATACAAAGATGAACTTTCTAATTATATGATTATTTGACTATTTCTTATGCGAGCTATTTTCCAGTTTTTAATTCTCAAACCAAATTAGAAATTTTGTTTTTTTGTCAATCAGCTGAATTAACTTTTGAATTAAACCGCCAACTTATCTTTCATAAATAATTTAGACATCCGACAAGGTTAGAAATAACGGTCGTTATTAGCGTTTGCTAATTATCTTCCTAATTGTAGTTCTCTCACTGAACTAAAAAAAAAATATACAGAGAGAGGTGGCAAAGATGAAGTGGAGGTGAGAGACGGAAAGCAAAACATAGTCACGAGAATCAACGGGCAATCTTAAAAAAGAAGTATTTTGCACATAATAATTAAGAAGAAGAAGAAGAAGAAGAAGAAGAAGAGAAGTAAATGGTAGCGTTCGAAATTCAATCCCCAAAAAACTCAAACTTTTAGGGTTCGAGCTCTGAAATCTGAATTTCTCTCTCTCTCTCTCTCTTTCTTTTGGGTATATCTTTATCTTTCTTGATAGATTTGGCCTTTTTCTTGATAAGCCCCTCTTCATAATATCCTCGTGATTCCACTTTAACGCCTCCTTTTTAGAAAATATAATCTTCTTATAATATTCAAAGCCTTTATCTCTCCGTTTCTCTCGCCTTGTCTCCTTTCCAGGCTTCATTTCTTTTTCTCTTCTTCCAGCTTCTGCTATGAACGGTGACGGAGTTTGGCTTGACGCCTCCGGTGGAGAACAGTCTCAGCCGGAAAACAACAACGGCGATGAAGAAGCTGCGTCGTGGGTCAGAAACACTGAAGAAAACTGGTTCAATAACAACAACAACAACCCACCACCACTACCAAATTCTCAAATCCTCCATAACAACAACGACTTCAGATTCAACGGTGGCTTCCCGTTGAACCCCTCGGAGAATCTCCTTCTCCTTCTCCAGCAATCGATTGATTCCTCTTCTCCGTTTCCCAATTTCACACTCGACACCGCTTCACACCAACAACAACAACAGCAACAACAGTCTTTCTTAGCTACGAAAGCTTGCATCGCTTCTCTCCTCACCGCCCCCACCACCACCACCACCACCAACCCGTTCGACGAATTCGGCTTCGATTCTGGGTTTCTCGGACAAATCCAGACTCCAAACTCGATGAATTTCTCCGGATTGAGCTCGCCGCCGGATTTCCTCTCTTCCCGGCCGGAAAACACCGCCGGATTCACTCCTCTCGAATTCGGGGGAATCGCGAACGGAGTCTTCGAGAACAGAGCCAAGGTTCTGAAACCGTTAGAGGTACTAGCTTCCTCCGGCTCGCAGCCGACTCTGTTCCAGAAACGAGCTGCGATGCGACAGAGCTCGAGCAGCAAAATGTGCAACTCGGAGTCGTCCTCCGAGATGAGGAGGTCGAGCTACGAGAGAGAGATTCACGACGACAACAACAGCACCGGAATCATCGACATCTCTGGGCTCAATTACGAATCCGATGAGCCAAACAACAACAACAACAAAGGGAAGAAGAAAGGAATGCCTGCTAAGAACCTCATGGCTGAGAGACGAAGAAGGAAGAAGCTTAACGATAGGCTTTACATGCTGAGATCAGTTGTTCCCAAAATCAGCAAAGTAAGAACAAAAGATTCTTCCTTTTTTGGTTTTGCATTCTTTATGAAGATTCTTGTTTTGTTAAATGCAGATGGACAGAGCGTCGATACTTGGAGACGCTATTGATTATCTGAAAGAGCTTCTACAGAGAATCAACGATCTTCACACCGAGCTTGAATCTACACCACCGAGTTCTTCGGGACTGCACCCGTTGACGCCGACTCCACAGACGTTACCTTACCGTGTTAAGGAAGAGTTGTGTCCGGCTTCCTCCTTGCCAAGCCCTAAAGGCCAACAAGCAAGAGTAAGAAAGAAATTTTAGCTCATTTGTTTTGGTGATTTGGTTAAGCAAGAGAAGAGAAGGAGAACATTTGTTTGATTGATGTACGTTTGGTGGTTGACGCAGATTGAGGTCAAGTTAAGGGAAGGAAAGGCAGTGAACATACACATGTTCTGTGGAAGAAGACCAGGTCTTTTGCTTTCCACCATGAGAGCTTTAGATAACTTGGGATTGGATGTTCAACAAGCCGTCATTAGCTGTTTCAATGGCTTTGCTTTGGATGTCTTCCGCGCTGAGGTAATTAACTAACTAAAGAGTAGTTATGTTTTTTGAGAGAATGATTGATTATTGGTTATTGATTAGTAGAAGTAGTGACATGTTTTGTTTTGTTTGGTTTTGTCTAATCAGCAATGCCAAGAAGGGCACGAGGTGTTGCCTGAACAGATCAAAGCAGTGCTTCTAGACACAGCAGGTTACGCCGGTTTGCTTTGATTCCACTTCTTTTGTGGAATGGAATCTAAAGCCTTTTGTTTTCTTTCTAGTCAGCAATTTTTCTTACCTAGTTTCATCAAATCTTAATCATGTATTGCAGATGATAATTGTTTTGTTTTAGCTTTGGAAAAAAAAAAGCATGTGTTTGGGTGCGTAACGTTTTAGCTGATTACCAAAAAATTGTCATTTGTATCTCGAAGCTGCGCTCAGGAAATTTTTGTTTAGTTTGTTTTTTTTTCCCTTTCCTAACAGAGATGAATCTTTGTGTAAAATTCACATTCTCCGTAAAGGTTTGAGCTTTGTTGTAGACTAAAATATCTATAAGCAAAAATATCTTTTTAAAATTCACATTCTCCGTAAAGGTTTAAGTGTCTAAAATATCTATAAGCAAAATACAAACATAATGGCATTAAATATTTTAAAAGAAAACTCTTCTTAATTATCGATAAAACATTCAAGAAACTAATTCACATGTAACAAAAAGAAACATACAAGAAATGCTCTGTTTCGGTGTTTCCTACATGCTTAATCAAAATTTTAGCAAAATGCCATTGTTCTCATTTTTATAAATCTATGTCTACATGCTATATATAAAGGTTCATTTATCTTTTGAAAATTGCGTTTCTGATGCTTAGCTCGTGTACGTGAACTTTAGCAGCCTGAAGTTGTGGTAATATATAGAGTTAAGAGGAAAACAGCCAGAATATAGTGTCAACAACTTTCAAGAAGTAAAATTCATAGGCAAACGGCTTTGTCTTTTGTTACATTACATCCATAAAACATAAAAGAAATGCTCTGTTTTGCTGCATCTTTTCAAAAATACATCAAAGGAAGTACGTAGGCATTTTATATATAAGATATCAGGCTTTGAAAGTAAGGAACATATTTTATACAAGAATCTTTGAAAATGGGAGAGAAAGATTTTGTTTGGGAATCATATTTCATCAGGTCGTTGCCACAGTGAAAATTGAGCAAGATCTTCTCCTTCTTGCATACCGCCACCAGTACTGTCCAACCAGGTCCAGGTGGATAGCCAAACGGATTCAAAGAACGCAAATCTATGGTACAAATATTCTCCCATGTGTCTTCTGATGAATTCAGCCTCCAAATGTATTCGATCATCGTCTCGGGCTCCCTTGTCCACATGAACAAACCATTATTTAGAGCACACATTCCAATATGGTCAGGATCTGAACTAGCAATAGCAGGGTTAATCTTAGGCAGCACCCGAAATGTTTCGGTATGAATATCGAGACCTACTACTTTAATTTCTCCATTGTATGGTTCTGTGAACCAATAAACCGACCCGTTTGCAGCTGCTGGCCTTTGGTTGAAATATATACGATAACTTGGTGTACAAGTCAAGTATCTCCAATCGTTTGCCCTAAAATCGAAAACCTCGCAGTTGGTAAGTCCCTCGTTTGGACTGAATGCGTCAGAGTTATACTTATCAGTGTTATACAGCCACACTAATTTGTAATCATCGGCCTTCACGAATGCTAGATGACTGACTGCTTTCAGGTAAATTAGGTGAGAGGGTGTAAACTTGTGCATCGAAATCTGAAACCTAGCCGGAGGAAGTTGTCTGAGCCACCGTGTGGCTGGATTCACAACATATATAGATTGTAATCTGTGGGAATGGATGCAGAAAAGGCCGTCACAGCTTTCAGAAACGTTGATCCAGTAATCGAACCCTTGAGGGAAATTGACAAGAGTAGAGGACAGAAGAGAAGCAGATTCCGAACATATTGTCTTAAAACAAAGGCCTGTGTCTAAACCAGATCCGTTCACGTTGAAAGTACGTTCTTCGGAGATGGCCATGACTTTGGGATTTTCCACGTTGGATTGCTCGGCGATCTTCAAGTGTCTCTCTGCCAAAGAGCGAGACTCGATCATACATCTCCATTGTTTTGACACAGACTTGAACCGGAATAATGATTTTACAGGAAGCCGCATGAAAATTTCCTCGATAACGTCGTTTATCAGTGACGATGAAGCACTCGTTGCTTCCATTGTTGCCTTCTTCTTAGCTTTTCTTTCGATATATGAAAGAATGAATGATTCCTAGCTCTCCTTTATATATATATATATATAAAAAGCCATACCGATTCCATTTGTGAAAATGCAATTTCCTTGAATTGAGAGTATAGCTTTAAAATTTAGTTAATTTCTAGGTATATTGATAATATTAATTTAAAATTTGACCCTAATAATTTTGAGCTAAATATACCTAAAAATGATATGATTGATATACATATATAATTACACCAAGTTAGAAAAAATAATTAGATGAGCATCTAAAATAACCTCTACATGTCACCTTTATCATTTATCATGTCTAGATCTTTCTATTATACTAGTATTTTATAAATATCTTCACTACTAACATAATATTAGGATAATAAATGAAAACTTATCAAAAGAAGAGCAGGATCATAAGAAGAGCAGGATGATAAATTAAAACTTATCAAAAAAGAAAAAAAATCAACGATGATTATGGTAAAAGAAAACGGGTTTGGTGAGTCTATCCATGAGAACATGCACCATCTTCTTCAGTTTGCAGAGAATAAGGTGATGCCGGAGGAAATATGCCTTGTTCCGCCATGGATCTTATGGATTCTCTGGAAGAATCGTAATTCATGCCTTTTTGAAGGAAAGACTTATGCAACCAATAAGGTGGTAGAGAAAGCTTTTGCCGATGCAAGACAATGGACAAATGCAAAACGTAAGATGATAGGAAACTAAAGAGTTGTGTCCGGCTTCCTCCTTGCCAAGCCCTAAAGGCCAGCAAGCAAGAGTAAGAAAGAAATTTTAGCTCATTTGCTTTGGTGATTTGGTTAAGCAAGAGAAGGAGAACATTTGTTTGATGTACTTTTTCGGTTGACGCAGATTGAGGTTAAGTTAAGGGAAGGAAAAGCAGTGAACATACACATGTTCTGTGGAAGAAGACCAGGTCCTACTTTCCACCATGAAAGCTTTAGATAACTTAGGATTGGATGTTCAACAAGCCGTCATTGGCTGTTTCTTTGCTTTGGATGTCTTCCGCGCTGAGGTAATGTACTAAAGAGTAGTTATGTTTTTGAGAGAATGATTGATTAATCAGTAGAAGAAATAACATGTTTTTGTTTTGTGTTGCTTTTAATCAGCAATGCCAAGAAGGCCACGAGGTGTTACCAGAACAGATCAAAGCAGTGCTTTTAGACACAGCAGGTTACGCCGGTTTGCTTTGATTCCACTTCTTTTGTGGAATGGAATCTAAGGCCTTTTTCTTTCTTTCTAGTCAGCAATTTTTCTTACCTAGTTTCATCAAATCTTAATCATGTATTGCAGATGATAATTGTTTTGTTTTAGCTTTGGAAAAAAAAACATGTGTTTGGGTGCTTGACTTCAACCTTTTAGTAAAATACCAAAAAATTGTCATTTGTATCTCAAAGTACAATTGATAGGCAAAAAGCTCCTTTTTTTCTTCTTCTATCATAACAGAGATGAGTCTGTGTAAAATTCACATTCTCTGTAAAGGTTTGAGCTTTGTTGTAGATTTTAGTTAAGTACAAACATAATGGCATTAAAAAAATTAAAAGAAAACTCTTCTTATCAATAAAACATCCAAGAAACTATAGTTCACATGTAAGAAAAAGAAACACACAAGAAATGTTCTGTTTCCTACATGCTTTATAATCAAAGGAAGCAAACAAGCAATCAATCTATAATCTATATATGAGAGATGAGACTTTGAAAGTAAGGAACATACTTTATACAAGAATCTTTGAAAATGGGAGAGAAAGATTTTGTTTGGGGATCATATTTCATCAGGTCTTTGCCATAGCGAAAATTGAGCAAGATCTTCTCCTTCTTGCATACCGCCACCAGTACTGTCCGATTAGGTGTATCGTAAAGCCACCGAGGATTAGAAGAAAGCAAGTCAATGGTATAAATATTCTCCCATGTGTCTTGTGATGGTTTCAGCCTCCAAATGTATTCGACCATGGTCTCGGGTTCCCTTTTCCACATGAACAAACCATTATCTAGAGCGCACATTCCAATATGGTCAGGATCTGAACTAGCAATAACAGGGTTAATCTTAGGCAGCACCCGAAATGTTTCGGTGTGAATATCGAGAGCTACTAGTTTGATCTCGCCATTGTATGGTTCTGTGAACCAATAAACCGACCCGTTTGCAGATGCTGGCCTCTGTTTATAATATAAACGATAGCTTGGAGTGCAAGTCAAGTATCTCCAAGCGTTTGCCCTAAAATCGAAAACCTCGCAATTGGTAAGTCCCTCGTTTGGACTGGATGCATCAGAGTTATACTTATCGGAATTGTACAGCCACACTAATTTGTAATCATCCGCCTTCACGAATGCTAGATGACTGACTGATTTTATGGCAATCATGTGGAAGGGTTCCAAAACTTGTCCAATCATGGGTGTAAACTTGTGCATCAAAATCTGAAACCTAGCCGGAGGAAGTTGTCTGAGCCACCGTGTGGCTGGATTCACTACATATATAGATTGTAATCTGTAGGAATGGATGCAGAAAAGGCCGTCACAGCTTTCAGAAACGTTGATCCAGTGATCGAACCCTTGAGGGAAATTGACTATGGTGGAGGACAGAAGAGAAGCAGATTCCGAACAGATTGTCTTAAAACAAAGGTCAGTGTCTAGATGATACGCGTTACGTTCTGTGGAGATGATGGCCATGACTTTGGGATTTTCCACGTGGGATCGCTCGGCGATCTTCAAGTGTCTCTCTGCGAAAGAGCGAGACTCGATCATACATCTCCATTTTTTTGAGACAGACTTGAATCGGAATAGTGATTTCACTGGAAGTCGCAAGAGAATTTCCTCGGCGACGTCGTTTACCAGTGACGATGAAGCACTCGTTGCTTCCATTGTTGCCCTCTTCTTGGCTCTTATTTTGAAATATGACAAAATGAATGGTTTCTAGCTCTTCTTTATATATATCAAGAAAAGCCATAATTATTCCATTTGTGAAAATAAAATTTCCCCGAATCTAGGTATTTTGATAATATTAATTTAGAATTTGACCCTAATAATTTTGAGCTAAATAAAGCTAAAATGATATGATTGATGTACATAATTAGACCAAGATTTACTACTGAATGAAAAGTTAGAAAAGAGAGTTAGATGAGCATCTAAAATAACCTCTACATGTCACTTTTATCATTTATCATGTCTAGATCTTTATAATATACTAGTATTTTCTAAATATCTTTACTACTAACTAACTATTAGGATAATAATCTACGTGTAAGATGTAAGTTTCCTTTTACCATTATCATCGTTGATTTTTTTCCTTTTTTGATATGAATGAGGTTCTGTTCTGATTCTCTCTCTATTATGCACCAAGCCGTAAATTATTTTCTTTTCATCCCACAAAAGTTTTGATTTACGCAGTTTAAACACAATGGAAAGGAAAAGAGCTAACCTCAACTTCCTCTAGGAAAGCCATTCGAATTTGATGAAATAAGTGATGTTATACTACTCAAGAGATAGTTGATACTACAAAACTAGACCACATGTTACAATGCGACCATCGAGCAGCAGAATGTTTTGTTCTTACATATATATAGATTGTGATTTTAGGGAATGGATACAGAAAAGATTGAGAATCCTCTTCTCTTTTCGAAAACCTGTTTTAAGTATTATTATTCACATTAAGTCTGATCTCTTAAGTAACACCCAAAGAAAATTCTGTTTCAAGGACAACTCTCAAAAACCTACTAAGATTCGTTGAACGGGGACAGGAACATATAAAACCCAAAACCCACTAGAAAAGATAAAGATTGAAAACATCGAGAATGGAAAACATCGAGTAAAACCAGACTTGGAGAAGACGTGAAAACACCTAAAAACATGTTTTACCAAAAGGATAAAGATGCACATCATCACGATGAGTGTAGGGCGTTCCTTTTGGGATCGTACGACGAAACAGCGAGACTCGATCCTCCACTTCCATTGTTTTGAGAGACACTTGAGTCGGATTAGTTCTTTTACTATCCACATGTTCTGTGGAAGAAGACCAGGTCTTTTACTATCCACCACATGAGAGCTTTAGATAACTTAGGATTGGTCAACAAGCCGTCATTAGCTGTTGCAATGGTTTTGCTTTGGATGTCTTCCGCGCTGAGGTACGTAACTACACGCTCATTACTAGTTATGTTTTAAGAGAATGATTGCTGATTAGTAGTAACATGTTTTGTTTTGTGTTGCTTTTGTAATCAGCAATGCCAAGAAGGCCACGAGGTGTTGCCTGAACAGATCAAAGCAGTGCTTCTAGACACAGCAGGTTACGCCGGTTTGCTTTGATTCCACTTCTTTTGTGGAATGGAATCTAAGGCCTTTTTCTTTCTTTCTAGTCAGCAATTTTTCTTGCCTAGTTTCATCAAATCTTAATCATGTATTGCAGATGATAATTGTTTTGTTTTAGCTTTGGAAAAAAAACATGTGTTTGGCTGCATAACTTCAACCTTTTAGCAACATACCAAAAAATTGTCATTGAAGAAGTGCAATTGATAGGCAAAAAAACTCCTTTTTTCTTATTCTCTCATAAGTCATAACAGAGATGAATCTTAAATACAAACATAATGGCGTCAAAAAATTTAAAAGAAAACTCTTCTTGTCGATAAACATTCAAGAAACTATAACTCACATGTGACAAAAGAAGCCTACAAATGTTATGTTTCCTACATGCTTAATCAAAGGAAGTAAGTAGGCATTCTATATATGAGAGATCAGGCTTTGAAAGTAAGGAACACACTTTATACAATACTCTTTGAAAATGGAAGAGAAAGATTTTGTTTGGGGATCAAATTTCATCAGGTCGTCGCCATAGCGAAAATTGAGCAAGATCTTCTCCTTGCATACCGCCACCAGTACTGTCCAACCAGGTCCATGTGGATTGCGAAACGGATTCAAAGAAGAAAAATCAATGGTATAAATATTCTCCCATGTGTCTTGTGATGGTTTCAGCCTCCAAATGTATTCGATCATGGTCTCGGGGTCCCTTTTCCACATGAACAAACCATCATCCAGAGCGCACATTCCAATATGGGCAGGATCTGAACTAGCAATAACGGGGTTAATCTTAGCCAGCACCCGAAATGTTTCGGTGTGAATATCGAGAGCTACTAGTTTGATCTCGCCATTGTATGGTTCTGTGAACCAATATACCGACTCGTTTGCAGATGCTGGCCTCTGGTTATTATATATACGATAACTTGGAGTGCAAGTCAAGTATCTCCAAGCGTTTGCCCTAAAATCGAAAACCTCGCAAATGGTAAGTCCCTCGTTTGGACCAGAGTTAAACCACTCAGAATTATACAGCCACACTAATTTGTAATCAGTCGCCTTCACGAATGCTAGATGACTGACTGATTTCAGGTAATCTCTGTGATAGAGCATCGCAGTTTCTAGATTATGGGGTGTAGGCATGTGCGTCAAAATCTGAAACCTAGCCGGAGGAAGTTGTCTGAGCCACCGTTTGGCTGGATTAACTACATATATAGATTCTGATCTGGGGGAGTGGATGCAGAAAAGGCCGTCACAGATTTCAGAAACGTGGGTGCAGTACTGATAGAACCCTTGAAGAAAATTGATACGAGTAGAGGACAGAACAGAAGCAGATTCCGAACAGATTGTCTTAAAACAAAGGTCAGTGTCTAGATGATACTCGTTCACATTGGTACGTTCTTTGGAGATGATGGCCATGACTTGGGGATTTTCCACGTGAGATCGCTCCGCGATCTTCAAGTGTCTCTCCGCGAAAGAGCGAGACTCGATCATACATCTCCATTGTTTTGACACAGACTTGAACCGGAATAGTGATTTCACCGGAAGTCGCATGAAAATTTCCTCGACGACGTCGTTTACTAGTGACGATGAAGCACTCGTTGCTTCCATTGTTGCTCTTCTTTTGAAATATGAATGAAAGAATGAATGATTCCTAGCTCTTCTTTATATATATATATATATATATATATATATATATCAAGAAAAGCCATAATGATTCCATTTGTTAAATACAATTTCCCTGAATTTAGAGTATAGTTTTAAATTTTAGTTAATTTTTAGGTATTTTGATAATGTTAATTTAGGATTTGACCCTAATAATTTTGAGCTAAAAATGATGTGATTGATATACAGAATTAGACCAAGATTTACTACTACTGAATGAAAAGTTAGGAAAGAGAATTAGATGAGCATCTAAAATAACCTCTACATGTCACCTATATCATTTATCATGTCTAGATTTTTATATTATACTAGTATTTTCTAAATATCTTCACTACTAACAAAATATTAGGATGACAAATGTTTCAATCTATACGTAAGAAGTAAGTTTTCTTTTACCATTATCATCGTTGATTTTTTTCCTTTTTTGATATGGCTGAGGTTGTGTTCTGATTCTCTCTCTCGTATGCACCAAGCCGTAGATTCTTTTCTTTTTATTGATTAACGTATCATCCCACAAAAGTTTTTATTTACGCAGTTTAAACAAAAAGGAAAGGAAAACAGCGAACCTCAACTTCGTCAAGGAAAGCCATTCGAAATTGATGATATATATAATTTGTAGTGATGTTTATTCTATTCAAGAGATAGTTGATAGTACAAAACTAGACCACATCTTACAATGCGACCATCGAGCAGCAGAATGTTCTTGTTCTTATATATAGATTAATTGTGATTTAGAAAATGGATACAGAAAAGATTGAGAATCCTCTTCTCTTTCCAAAAACCTGTTTTCAATATTATTATTCACATTAAGTCTGATCTCTTAAGTAACACCCAAAGAAAATTATGTTTCAAGGACAACTCTCAAAAACCTACTAAGATTTGTTGAACGGGACAGAAACATATAAAACCCAAACCCCACTAGAGAAAATAAAAGCAAGATAAAACCACAAAGAATTCGAAAATGGAAAACGTCGAGTAAAACCAAAACACCTGAAAACATGTTTTACTAAGGTGATGATTGGTTCTCCCGCTACCACCCGCAAACGCAGCGTTTGCGGTTCGTAGCGGTTCTTAGCGTTTTATAACAATCACGACAACCGCTTTCAACCGCTCTATACCACTCTGTACCGCTCTATATCGCTGAAAATCAAAAGCTCCTTTCCGCAAGCGTTTGCGGTTGCGGGCGGTTGCGGTTTGAAAAAAAAAAAAAAAAAACATAATATCTCCAAATTTGGAATAAGGGTATATTTTTTTGAAAAATACCATAATTATGTTTAAAAATTTCGAAAATACCCTAAATTTTTTCTGTTTTGAAAAATACACTTTTAAAATGTAAAAAGTATGTTTTGACGTGATTTAAACAAAAAAATAATAAATAATTACAAATTATAAACGAAAATTTAAAAAAATAATAAACTAATAAGTTTTTTTTCAAATAAATATAGTATATGTTAAACTGAAACAAATTTTAATATTTTGGATCTTTATATAAACAACTTAACCTCATACACATTCAAACCAAATGAAACTTTAAATAAATTAAAACTTTACATATATTTAAAGTTTATAAATTATTAAAAATTTAAAAGTGGAGAAATATATCTTTCATTTTTAATGTTTATCTTTTGAAAAATTTAAATATTTTTGAAACTTTGCATAAACAACTTTAATCTCACCCCATTTAAACTTTATATAAACAATCTTATATTTTTATTAAATTGTTTAAAAAAAAACTAAACAGGTAATTAGGATGTTAAAATGATACAAAATTATTATCAAATATTAATATTTTATATTTCTTATTTGAATTTCGTTTTTATTAAATTAGGAATAATCATTTTACATATAAAAAGTGTATTTTTCAAAACCAAAAAAAAATAAGGGTAGTTTTCAAATTAAAAATTCATCAAAAAATATATTTCAAAAAAAAAATTATTAATATGGTTATAAATGTTTTGAATAATTATATATTATTTTTATTTTAGTAACTTTTGGTTAAACCGCTCTTGCACCCGCTGGCTAACCAGTCAAAAATATCCCGCAAACGCAACCGCTATGAATTGCTATACCAGTCGTACAAACAGCTTTTAATCGCAAACTCCCGCTTCCGCAAACTCCCGCAGCCGCAAACTCCCGCAACCGCAACCGCAGCGGTTAAACCAGTCAGACCCTAAAAGGATAAAGATGCACATCATCAAGATGAGTGTAGGGCGGTCCCTTTGGGATCGTACGACGAAACAGCGAAACTCGATCCTCGACTTCCATTGTTTTGAGAGACACTTGAGTCGGGTTAGTTGTTTCACCCGAAGTCTCAAGAAGATCTCCTCTATGACATCGTCTGGTAGTAGTGGTGATGCAATCGCTTCCATCTCTCTATTCTTTTAGGTGATGATTGGTTCTCCCGCTACCACCCGCAAACGCAGCGTTTGCGGTTCGTAGCGGTTCTTAGCGTTTTATAACAATCACGACAACCGCTTTCAACCGCTCTATACCACTCTGTACCGCTCTATATCGCTGAAAATCAAAAGCTCCTTTCCGCAAGCGTTTGCGGTTGCGGGCGGTTGCGGTTTGAAAAAAAAAAAAAAAAAACATAATATCTCCAAATTTGGAATAAGGGTATATTTTTTTGAAAAATACCATAATTATGTTTAAAAATTTCGAAAATACCCTAAATTTTTTCTGTTTTGAAAAATACACTTTTAAAATGTAAAAAGTATGTTTTGACGTGATTTAAACAAAAAAATAATAAATAATTACAAATTATAAACGAAAATTTAAAAAAATAATAAACTAATAAGTTTTTTTTCAAATAAATATAGTATATGTTAAACTGAAACAAATTTTAATATTTTGGATCTTTATATAAACAACTTAACCTCATACACATTCAAACCAAATGAAACTTTAAATAAATTAAAACTTTACATATATTTAAAGTTTATAAATTATTAAAAATTTAAAAGTGGAGAAATATATCTTTCATTTTTAATGTTTATCTTTTGAAAAATTTAAATATTTTTGAAACTTTGCATAAACAACTTTAATCTCACCCCATTTAAACTTTATATAAACAATCTTATATTTTTATTAAATTGTTTAAAAAAAAACTAAACAGGTAATTAGGATGTTAAAATGATACAAAATTATTATCAAATATTAATATTTTATATTTCTTATTTGAATTTCGTTTTTATTAAATTAGGAATAATCATTTTACATATAAAAAGTGTATTTTTCAAAACCAAAAAAAAGGGTAGTTTTCAAATTAAAAATTCATCAAAAAATATATTTCAAAAAAAAAATTATTAATATGGTTATAAATGTTTTGAATAATTATATATTATTTTTATTTTAGTAACTTTTGGTTAAACCGCTCTTGCACCCGCTGGCTAACCAGTCAAAAATATCCCGCAAACGCAACCGCTATGAATTGCTATACCAGTCGTACAAACAGCTTTTAATCGCAAACTCCCGCTTCCGCAAACTCCCGCAGCCGCAAACTCCCGCAACCGCAACCGCAGCGGTTAAACCAGTCAGACCCTTAATTTGATCCGAAATAATAATGAATGAATGCCTCTTGTTATATTTTTCTCGTTGTTGTATTAGAGTTAGTGTATAGTTTACATTTGGTTTATTTTCTACCATTTCAGCAATGTTATTTAAAATTTTGACCCCCAAAAAAAGAGCAGAAAAACCAAGTTTAAAAACGTTATAAATAAAGTAATATAAAAGACAATATTACATCATATTTTCTAAATTAATTATTATATTATTTTTGGCACCAAATGTTAGACTACTAAAAGAAAAGTTAGCAAAGAAAATGAGATCAGCTATAATCTAATAAAATCACTACATGTCACCTTCATGATTTGCTATGTTTAATTATTTTATACATGACGTGTTCCCTGACCAAAGCAAAGCACATTTAGACATAAAAAAGGTGTTCATATTTTGGTGTATTCCAAATGATGATTAGATGTCTAATTTTAGACTCGAGTAACATATGATTGGGTACATAACTTCATCCTTTTACGAAAATACCAAACCTCAGTATTTCTTAAATCTGTGCTCCGAATTTTTGAACGATCAATAAATTGTGATCTTACCAGAGATAAATTTATATCCTCTGCAATTGAGCTTGGTCCTAGAGTTTGATGTTTAGAAGCTTTTGTGTATTCATCATAATCCTTAGAAAATACCAAAATGTGTTAAACAATTAATGTGGTCCAAAATATAATGAAATTGACTGGAAATAAATCGAAACTATACTAATTCTGTTTTATTGGTCTTCTTCGAAACACAACTATCGAATAATTCTTTTTAGTGGAGAATACTCATGAGATAAACTGTAGTAAGTCAATAACGGAATCAGATCCGTTATGTAACTTGGTTCAAAATTTGTGTTTTTATGGTTCTTCATCATCTTCTCAAGAATTATAACAAAAAAATAATTTATTTAAAAGTTTATTAAATAGAGAGACATGTTGATGGTTACAAAGCAATGAATGCTCATTGGTCTACTCCTCATTCTTCTCCGCAAAAATAGGAACAAAATTAATCATTTTTCTCCTTCTTCTCATTCTTCTGTGAGTTTTGAGATTCTCTCTCGTTAATTCTGGAAAATTAAAAAAAAAAAAAACGAAACTTTTATCATAGAAAAAGATGTTTCGCCATGAAAGCTCTGTTCTTGTTTCTCACGAACCTCAATAAACAAGAAGCGGCCTTTTCAAAAACGTAGCCAGACGCATTTTTCTCAATCCCTTTGTCGCAGATTCATCAATGTCGTCTCTTCCATCTCGGACAGGACGAGATCGTCAACGTTACGAGAATAATTTCCGTCTCGTTTCTGGGTAACAAACAAAATTTCATCTTTATGATTACCAATCTTGCAAATGTCGTGAAATTTTCAGCCTAAATTAGAAAACAAAATTGGTTGATTTCTTTAGTGTTGCTTACACAAATGTTCAGGTGCATTCCGTATAGATTGATTAAAGATGAGGAAACTGAAGAAGACCAAAGTGTTGACTTTGTAAACAAATTGGAAGTTCTTATGGTTTCATCTCCTAATCGCCATGATCTTGTCTTCCCAAAGGTTTTTGTGATTTCGTTGTTTTGCAATTGCCCATTTTCAAAAGGCTCATTTTTGTGTGTGTGTATGGTTTATCAGGGAGGATGGGAAGATGATGAGACTGTTCTTGAAGCTGCTTCTCGTGAAGCCATGGAAGAAGCAGGAGTTAAAGGAACACTTAGAGTAAGTTTTTAAAAACAAAAAACAGTGAGGAATTTATGGTATATACATTGTTTGTTAGATTAGATGTGTTTTTTTGTCATTTTTTGCAGGAAGTTCCTTTAGGAGTTTGGGAATTTAGAAGCAAAAGTAGCTGTGAGGAGGATGACTGTTTTGGTGGATGCAAAGGTTACATGTTTTCATTAGAGGTAACCGAAGAGCTCGAGGATTGGCCAGAACGAGAGAATCGCCAGAGGAAATGGGTAAACAAATCTCAAAACATTACAAGCATAAGATCCAGTGTGAAGTTTGTTTTTGTTTTTGTTTTGAACTTTGGGTTTGCATGAACAAATGTGCAGTTGAATGTGAAAGAAGCATTGGAGCTGTGTAGGTATGAGTGGATGCAGAGAGCACTTGAAGAGTTTTTGAAAGTAATGGAAGAAGAAGGCAAACTGAGAACAGAGGAAGAGACAGTGAAGGATTCTTCAAAGCTAGAAGGAGAGTGTGAAATAGATCCTTGGTACTGTTTTGAAGTTAATTAGTTTTTCATTTTTTCTCTTTTAGCTTTTGGATTCAATTGAAAAAAGCTTCTTCTACTAATGTAAACAAGTTGAAACATGAGAAGCTAAATGACTTCAGACACATGTGATCTAATATTCTCAAACATGAGAAGCTAAATGACTTCAGAATCTGATATCTTTGTCTGTTTTTAGTGATAAAGATAATACATTTGTCTCTAGCTATGGAATTTGGACACCATACAGAAGAAGACAAAAAGACACAAGATAAATTTAACTAATTACACACAGATCAATGCTTGACTTTAAATTACCCTCACAATCCAAATCCCTAAGCGTTTATGCATTAGGTTTCTTGACATCTGTATTGTTTTGTCTGAATCTGAAATGAAAATGTCCTTGTCACCACTTGGCTTGGCTCCATACATTCCTCAGACAAAGCCTTGATAATGTAATGTATTGTGATGACACAAGATGAACAATCTCGGAGACCATTTAAGCTTAAAGTGTGGAAATTACTAAGCAAAAGGACAAGAATGGAGAAAATATGAACCACTTTCTTGTTCCTACTGACACGGTTTACGAAGGAGAAGTTAGGCTTTGGAGTTAAATTCTTGTAACTCCCAACTAATTCCTTTAATTTAATGCCAAAGCCAAAAAGGTATCAATCAAGTTCACATACTCTTCTGCTCAGCTCCCTCTATATATAGATAATAGCAACCTAAAGATCCTCAAAGAGACTTGGTGAGAGAGAGAGGAGCATTGATCTCTGAGTATTGTGAAGCATGTTGAAGTCAAGAAACAAGAGCAAAAGCAAACAAGAGAAGAAGTCACCAGAAGTGAAGTACCTTGGAGTGAGAAGGCGTCCATGGGGGAGATATGCAGCTGAAATCAGAAACCCTTTCACAAAAGAAAGACTTTGGCTTGGAACATTTGATACAGCCAGAGAAGCTGCTTTAGCTTATGATGTTGCTGCTCGCTCCATCAGTGGCTCTCTAGCTAAAACCAACTTCTTCTGTTCTGACAACACCTCTTCTATACAAAGACAACCACAACAGTTGTTACAGTCATCATCAGGCAAAGATTCTGTTAACCCCATTGTGTCTTTGGGACCTGATATGAGTTTTGGATCTTCTAGTTTCTGTTTTCTTCAAGATCAGCCACAAGAAAACAACCATTTTGTTGCTTGTCCTATCCCTTGTTTGCAAGAACAACAGCTTTCTGCTAATCTCACTTACGGTTACTCACATTGTTATGATGATGATCATGTTGGTAAAAGCAGAGAGATTTCTTTACCTTCTCTGCCCAATGATATGTCAAGCAGTTTATTTGGTCATCAAGACAACACCGATGCAGAACATATGAAGAGTGGTTCGGTCCTCAACGATGAACCTCATTGCTCTGAGTATGACTTCCTTTTAAGCAACATGCCCACTTCTCTTCTCAATGATGTCAATGGAGATCCTCCTCATGTTCTCGAGTCTTCTTCTTCTTCATCTTTCATCTGATTTGAATCTTTTGCATTGTTGGCTCTTTTGTTTCGCCTGTAGCTGTATAAGCAGTTTTTAATACCAATCTTTGTCTTATGTACTATAAAAAGTATTGAATCTTTCTTTAGTGTCAAAAGCATCCCCAAACCAGAGTTATGAGTTAAGCAGAGGATGTAATGTAACAATGTCTGAATCAAGATTATTACTATAAATTGTAGACCACAAATACACAAACTCGGGAACTACAATTATACATTCCGAATCATATAACAGTAAGATAAAAAAAAATGGAGCAGACATCAAAAGTTTTGAGTCTTCAATACTTCCATTTATTGGCAACAATGTCAGCCAAATCAACAACTCTCTGAGAGTAACCCCATTCATTATCATACCAAGCAATCACTTTAACCATATCATCTCCCATAACCATTGTGAGAGAAGAATCAATGGTGGATGACACATCAGAGCACCTGAAGTCAACAGAGACGAGCGGCTCATCGCAGACAGCGAGTATACCTTTAAGCTCTTTCTCAGCTGAGTCTCTGAAAGCAGCATTGACCTCTTCAGCGAAAGTCTTCTTGGTGACCTGCACCACCAAGTCAACCACTGAGACGTTAGGAGTTGGCACACGCAGCGCGATTCCATTGAGCTTTCCTTTGAGGTTAGGGAGCACGAGAGCCACGGCTTTTGCCGCTCCAGTAGATGTTGGCACAATGTTTAGAGCCGCTGCTCTTGCTCTCCTTAGATCACGGTGGCTCGCATCTAACAGCCTCTGGTCACCAGTGTATGAGTGAGTAGTTGTCATTGTACCCTTTATGATCCCTACCATGTTAAACACAACACAAAAACCAAATCATTTCTAATTTATGCAATCATATGGTTATAGGGTAAGTATCATCAAGATTGTATGAGATGCGTACCGAATTTCTGGTCAAGAACCTTGACGAATGGAGCAAGACAGTTAGTAGTACAAGAAGCGTTGCTGATGATTGTATCTTCATGGCTGTAGAGTTCATCATTGACACCAACAACATAAGTTGGGATATCTCCTTTGCCAGGAGCAGTAATCAGAACTTTCTTGGCTCCAGCCTGAAGATGCTTTCCAGCACCATCTCTGTCCACAAACACTCCGGTTCCTTCGATCACCAAGTCAATGCCTAATTCCCTAAACACCATCACCAAGATTTAGCCGAGTTGATCAATATGAAAGATATGAGAAGTGTTTTTTTTTTTTGTAACTTACCCCCAGGGGAGATTAGATGGGTTACGATCAGACACAATCTTGATGATCTTGCCATCAACAGAGAGAGCAGAGTCACCAGAAGGTTTGACATCAGCGTCGAAGATTCCAAGAGTTGAGTCGTATTTGAGGAGATGCGATGCTTGTTTGACACCGCCGGTGTCGTTAATGGCAATGACATCGAGAGGAGAGTCTTTACGTCCATGCCAACACCTCAAGAAGTTCCTACCAATCCTACCGAACCCATTGATGGCTACCTTTATCTTGGCCTCGGTCACTCCTTTCCTGTATCCACCATTGCCTCCCATCTACAACACATAGAAAGCAAATGTATATGGTCACATAGCAACAACAACAACAAAAACAGATGCAGTCATGGCTGATCATGTCATGCAATGGTGAGGGCATTAGACACACGAGAGAGCTCTTATGTTTATAAGATTGCACCATAAGATATAAGACAGAGTAAAGGAGCTTACTGCAGAAGTCTGGAAAGAGACGAAGGAAACAAACTCATCGGAAGAGGATTTCTTGGCAAAGGGAAGAGCAGAGGAGTTTCGGAGTCCTGAGAACTCAGAGAAACCCTGAAAAGCAAAAACATGAGAGTATTAGGGATGATGATGATGATGATAAAACTTGTAAAGGAAGATGATGAAACAAAACCTGAAGGGATGGTTTGGCCAAAGAAAAAGTCGCCGAAGCCATGGCGACTCAGAGAGGAAGCTGTGTATAATGTATCAGCAGAAAAGAAGAGGACAGAAACTAATGTAGAAGCAGAGACTGGTAATATAGGGAAATAGAAATGCTGAGTTGGAGGCAAAGAAGATGAGATTCTGGATAGCTTTCTCATACATTTGTATGGTTGTGGTTTCTCACTCACTTCCCTCTTCACGTTTCTTAATTCTTACGATGATCTTTTGCTTCTCACTTGGGCTTCACAAGTGGGCTTCTCCATCATGTGGTCACACTTGTACAGCATATGGCTTCTTGTACTCTTCTTCCGACATGCTTCTTAGGACCATTGAAAAGTCAAATAGAGATTTTCTCTGACATCCCTTTGCTTCAGATAAAAATCACAGACTCCTTAAGATAACCTTTCTATAACCTGAAGCCATTTACAATATTACAGTCTCCTATTAGATTTTTCAGTGTCCCATTTTTAGGCAAGAGGTTTAGTACGAGGATCAAGTTGTTGAAATGTATAGACTTGACAACATTGGAGCTGATGCTTCTACACTGAGGTTATGGTTTTTGTTCATTGACTTTATAGAAAGCCATTTCAAGACATGCAGGAGAATCAAGATCAAAAGGATCAATCTTTGTTATCAATCATACATCAATAAGAGTAAGTGCAAGCTTTTCATAACGAGGATGATAACAAGATCAAAGCATATTCATTAATACGATGATGAACAGTCAGTGCAAGCTTTACATCTTGAGAATAGTAACAAGATCAAAGTGAGATTACTCTTCATTAAATATGTGTGACAAAGAGATGAGAAACTAAAAAAAAAAAAAAAAAAAAAAAGATCAAACCCTGAGAATTTGCAGCTTCGAAGAGAAAGCAATAGCGACCCAATCAGGCTGAGAAGACGACCATTGAAGCTGCTCAATCTCAGCACCAGCAGTGTAAGCAAGAATAGGGTCAAGACCACCTTCAACTTGCTGTCCCATGGAGGAAATATCCCAAATCAAAGCTTGGGAATCATCTCCTGCAGTACAAATATGGCAAGAGCTATGAGGAGCCCAAGCTATGGCATTGACGCTAGCTTGATGTCGCTGAAGCTCCACCACCGGAAGAGCTGGGAAGCGAATGTCGAGCACCACGACTTTAGCACTGTCCATGATAATGGTTGCCATGTACCTCGGATCCTGCTTGTTCCAACCGAGACGCACCAAAGGAGTCTCTGGCTCAGAGCTCTCGTAGATAATCGTGGAATGCTCCTTATCACGGAGATCGAAGACTCTGACGGAGCCATCAGCTGAGACGGAGGCGAAGACGCCAACACCACCCCAAGCGATGTCGAAGACTTCCTTATCGTGTGCGATTAGCTGAGTATCAACAGCTTCACGCTCGATGTCCCAGATCGTGCAAGTCGTATCGGTGCTGGAAGTTCCGATCCGTCGCGGCTCAGCTTCGTTCCAATCGAAGGAAGTGAGAGGTCCACAGAACTCGCTGTTTTTGTTGCTGTTGAGGCACGATTTGAGCTCGACGCGGGAGTGATCGTCGGCGATGCGCCATAGACGGAGGAAATCGCTCGAGGTAGCGAGAAGATCGGGTCGCTGGCATTCCTTGTCCGGGATGAAAATGGTCTTCGTTGGCGGGTATGGATGCTCGAAGGCGAGATTAGGATCGGAGCGGATCTCGCCGTTGGATTCATCGAGCTGGACTATCTCGACCCGGTTCGGGTACTGCTCGAGGAGGCTGGTGATGGCGAGACGGTACTTCTTATCGCGACGAACGCTCCAATTCATCGCGTAAATGTGCCATGGCGCTTCGTATGTGTAGATCTCTGATCGCTTCTGCTGCTCATCGGAACCATCTTGGATCGGATCGCTGCTCGTTCCCATCAGATTCCGACCAAAAACCCTAGAAATCCCGAAAACGCCTCCGCAACTTCGGCTTCTATCACTCTCACACTGAGAGAGAAGATGGATAATCCTAATTTATTAAAATATTATTTAATTCAGGTTAATATTTTTAACTAAAAATGGCCAATAAACGACGCCGTTTACGTAAACACAAGGACTTATGTTCGTCGTTCTTCTTCACCATAGATTTTCTCGGGAAAATGAAAACAGAAAATGGAAAAGAAAAAAAAAAGATGTCCAGAATCAGAATATCCTCGAAACAAGATCAATTACAACACAAATTGTCCAACAAACACACAGAACAACTGCTGGAGAAGAAGAAAAGCTTAAAAAAGAGACGAGCTTTTCAATGTTCTATAGAAACCAAAAAAAAAAACTTGAATTTTTTCTTCTTTCATAATCAACTTTAATCAGAATCCTCATAAACATCACCATCCGATAACTCATCAAACGTCCTCATGTCAAGCTGGTAACGAAGCATCCCACCAATCCCACCAAAACCTCTGCAAAACTGCGACCCTTCTTGCGACTTGTTCGTAACAAACTCAAGCGTACACCCAAAACGCTTGTACTCATTCGCAAACCACTCCAGTAGAGGCATCTTCTCCTGAACTTCCAGCTCAGCGTTAGTCTCTACATCATGGAAGTTGCTCTGATCAGTCTCCTGATCTTTCCCAAAATGCTTCACCACAATCTCTCCGCTCGTACTATTCTTCAACTCGTACCTGTTGATATCCAGATTCTCCCACACGATAAGCGTCTCAATAGCTCCCATCTCCAAAGCCTTTAACGTATCCTCCACACCGAAAACATACTTCCCAGTATCTTGACTTATCTCCTCAAAGTACTTCCCAATCAACTTCTTCTCCTGTATGAACTTCACGTTAGAGAGAATCTCAGCAGAGAGCTCAATCGCTTGGTTGAATCCGTTCTCACCTCCGTAAGAAACATCCACCACGTTCAATATCTTAGCTTGAAGACGAGGATCAAACAGCTCAGACTGGCTAAGCTCAGTCTTGAAATCAGCCGAACCAGCAAGAATCAAGCCAGCGACATTAGGCTGGCTCGTAGCCGGGTTGATGTAAAACTGCGTAGCGAGCTCTGCCGTCTTCCTGACGTAGTTGTGTCTCTTCTCCATCCTGAGCCGAGCGAAACGTAGCGCGGATTGTCCTCCTCTCCCGTGCTTCTTCGGGAGATCGACGGTGAACTTGTGAAGCACCTCTCTAGTGTTCCCACTCAAGGTTCCAAACAGCGTGCCGTTTCCGTCCATGACGATGAATCCGAACTTGTCGTCAGACTCTAGAAGCTCGTTTAACGCCTCCGTGTGGAACTTGTTGTCACAGAGGTACAGTGAAGCGTTGATCGGCCTGAAGGGCTCGAAATCGAAAGTCACCTTCTTCTCTTTGCCGTCGTCGTTGACGATTGTGCCGGTGTAGAGGACGAGTCCGTTGGTTGGGACTTTGTTGTAGAGCTTTAGCCTCTGTTGAGCGGAAGTGATGGCGGATAAGACGGATTGGCGATTGACTCTGCTCTTGATGTTTGACGCAGTTCCGTATTCGTCACCGAGCATTTTGGTGACACGAGAGACCTGATCGCGAGGAGGCATGATGAGAGAGATCATACTCGTTCCATTACCTCTTGCGGATTCGAGACCTTTGATTAGCTTTTTGATTTTCCAAATCTCGATGTTCGTATCTGCTTCCTGATCCGCCATTTTCTTCTTCTTCTTCTCTCGAGGTCGAAGATGGAGAACGGCAAATCAAAAGCGAACAAACTACAAAAAAAGGAACAAAAATCAAACCAAGTTGAGAACACAGTTATCTTAGAACAGCGTGAAATACGGATACAACTACGAAATGGAGATTTAACAAAACCTAGGTCTCTACTCAAGTAAAGATCGGAACTTTTCAATAAACAGTTATTATACGATTACGATGAACAGATTTAATCGAATGAAGAGAGAAATCGAAATCGCGCGAAAACGAACGTACCTTTTCTCTCTCTATCAGCGACTCCGGCGGCCTCTCTTCCCAGTAAATTGATTCGCTAGGGTTTTCCCGAATTCTACCCCCCACAAACCAACCACGTGAAACTCACGTGCGGAAAACCGAATTAATTTCATTTTTAAAAATGTCAGAAAACCGAGAAACAATATTGGGCTTTACCTTAAATCAACAGGCCCAAAAGAGACTGTGTGACAGAAGATGTATATTATTCTGCTCATTGATCAAATCTAAAAGAAATGCCTTCAGATTCTTCATGAGGTTCTTTGTCCTCCTACTACTGTACATCAGAAACAGTGCATTGACAGAAGATGCATTGCCTTTTAATCATCAAGGCAACTAAATAAAATGAAACTTTTCTTTCATTTCAATAGCAAAAAGAGATGATGATTGATTGATTCATATGATGTTAAGATTAGGATCGTTTCGATGAGAATCAGCAAAATCTCTCACTAGTCGCTTCAAAGCTCGACCGTGTTTCCCTTGCATATGTCCTCCTCCTCCTATTTGACTGTTATTAATTCCAAAGTTGCAGCTTTTGTTCTCAAGGTAATCGATCCCTGCACCTCCCATAGCTTCTGACCATTCCCTCACTATGTTCTCTGCTTCTCCTTGCTTTAGATACTCGCTCGGCAGTGCCCACACCTGAGAAGTGAAAACAAAAAGACTCCATTAGAACGAACAAAACAGAGGCGGAGTTCGGTTTTATGTGATCATGAGAGAGAGAGAGAGAGACCGCAGAATTTAGCCATCCTTGGAGAGATTCCCAACACAACATTCCTTTCCATGAAGTTCTCTCGCATAAACTGCAGATTGCAGCTAACTGTTGAAGTATCGTCGAACACTTGTGGACCTAAAAGAAAAACAGAACCGAAACGGTGATTCAGAAGATTCCAATCCACCTTTAGTACTTTTTGAGAGATTTTACTAGAATTCCTTACCCTTGACATAGCTGCAACTCCCAGTAGAGCATAGACTAGATTAGACAAAAGTCCCTCTCCACAGTGAGATACAACCTGGACAGAGACCACGCTGAATGATCCTTCTGATATGCAATTCACGGTTTCAATCATTGAAGAAAGCGAAACTTCCAAGAAACCTGTAAAGTTTGAAAAAGTTAGTGTTAAAGTATGCTTATGAGCAAAAGTTAATGCTGTTTTCGATTGGAGTACGCTTATGCTTACCAGACAAGTATGACATTGCAGCTAAAGCAGCACCTCGGTGCATAGCTGTACAACAAATAGCCGCTTTGTGGAAAGATATTTCAAGAAGTGTTCCGGAAGTACCCAACAGTTCCTGTTTCATCAAAAGAAATAGAACCAAACCTTCACCACAAAACTCCTCTTATTTTTGAAAGATGAACTGAAAGTATAACTTTTACGAGCAAAGGAGTTATTGCAAACCTTATGACAACCGCGTATTAGTGCTGATGCGAAATTCACATATGCTTCCACCAAATCAGGTTCTTGGTCGCATATATATGACGAATTTATTCCCATCAGTGATGATGCTTGAGTAAATCTCTCAAACGTAGTGATAAACAAGGACCCGTATTCCTCCTTATGACAAAATTCTTCAGCGATTACGCAGGCTGTGATAATATGTGTGGAAAGGCAAATGAATTTAAGCTAGCCAATAGAAGTCATCTCAAGGCATTTTTCTCCGATAATGAATTAAAGCTAGCATCTCAAGGCATTTTTCTCCGATAGTGGAGCCTGTACCTAAATTAAGAAACCTCACCTGTTCTTATGTAACACTCTTGGCTTTGAAATGACAGAAAGTTTCTCGATAAACACTCCAGAACACTGGGTAGTAGCAGCATAAAGTGCTCACCTGTAAATAATGCAAAATTGAAGGTGTCAAAATGTCAGTGAAAGCTACTATCCATAAAAGTCGAACATCATATGCATAGTCAGACTCTTACAGTACGAAAGAAAGATAATATTCGTACATATCTGAGAAATTTACCACTAGTGAAAAGGTTGCTTTGGAATATATAAGTGTTCAAGGCTCTAAAGTAATAACAAGACAAATGTAAGCAGATAAGAAGTTTGAAACCTGACGACTGAACTGCCACCGAAAGAGCACGGCATGCTGCTGCAGCTAAACTGCCACTCTCCATGTGTTCGGACCTAAAGAGCTTCTCCAAAATCGGCCAAAAAACAGTCAACAAAGAAAGTATTGGACCATCTGCCACAGGGACAGATGACAGAACCGTCGCAAGGTGACTGAATACAGTTCCAATCCTGATACATGGAACAAGTGAAAAAAAAAAAAGTAATCAATTAACTAAAGATTATGGTTCATTTAACTTATGATTATGGTTCGCAGTTATCAAATCTATTTAACGCAGGTTTTCGGAAGAAGTAGATGTAATGCAAAATTATGGCAATGTTCTCACAGAAGAACTTAAGTCCCGACGCCAACAAAGAATTCACCAAAAGCTCATAGATTACAACGCATTTAAGAAAGATAGTAAACACAGCAGTCGCAGACCTGTAAAGACCTCTTGTAACAGAGCTCAACATTCTTGTGTAAGTGGCTGGACTCTGTCTACCAGAAGACTCAGCGTCATCATCTACCTAAAACCATAAAAGGTATTAGTCAAATTCTATCTCATTGGTGCATCATCTGTGGATGATTAAATGATTCTTTTTCCATTAATGCAGAGCATGAACAAACAGTTACTTGAACAGTAAAAAGAATGATGAAGAGCCAAAACACTTACAAGTTTTGAGAGAACTCCATAGCTTGACGAAAGCAATTGAGTTAATAATTTACTTTGTAGCTCTTTGTTAGTAACAGAGCCAAGAATCACAGTGATAGCGGTGATGACTTCTTCTTCATCTTCCAACGCCAAATTCCACTGCTCCAAACACTAAGAAAGGTAAAAGCATAATGATTCAGGAGACAAAAACATATTTATCAGTGTAACTTGAAGCTTATTTTAACAGTTAACGAAAAGGGTGCATGAAGCTGATACCTCTCCTATCCACATTAAGATGTCTAAATTTGATGTTTCCTGGATTACAGCTGGTGCATCTTCACAAATTTTACGCAGAGCAGAGGCACAAGCATGTGAACAAATAGGTTCAGAAATCCCTCCTGCAAGAAATAATCTGAAAGCAGAAAAACAATGCAGCATGCAGATTATCAGACCAGTTGATGTTGTAAGATATCTCTATACACATCTCCGTAGAGAATATAATCACCAAAATAAATATTAGAACGAATTTCAAGGTACTTGCTAAGATTGTGAATGGTCACTGAAGAAAGTAGACTTACAGCAAGGGTCTAGCGTTACTTGGAAAAACAGAGATCCATCTTGAATAGGAGCCCACAACATCTGCCAGTGATCTGTATACCTAAAAGTTGATTAACGTCAGATGTTGATTGTTTACAGTACAAGAAAATTGTTGGTAAGCCAGAAGACAAGGCAAGGGTACGAACTGACATACAACACATATAAACCCCTTGAGTTCGCTGGATGGCCGAACAGAGAATGCTGAAACCAATTGCATGATCAATGAAAAATCAAAAGCCTCTCCCTCTTGCAAGATAATTTCAGAAACCTGCAAACATAAAGTGATGATGGATGGATAAGTATCAGCGACGAAACAATTAACAGTAGAGAACCTATACAATGTGATATACCACCACTTCTGGGGTAGTTCTGAAACCAGAAACTTAAAATGAAACAACTTCATCAGAAGAAAAGAGGTCAAGTGTGCTCACCGCATTAAGAGCAAACAATTTCGCCTCAATCTCCCTCAAGGGCATCGAAACATTTGAAGAAGGCAGACCACCAAAAAATAACTGAGGTATATCGGCAATAAAAAGTTACAAGTAACACAAGGAAAAAAAAAAAACTGTACTTTGTCACAGAACATTGTAAAAACAAAAACTACTTATCAAGCAGCCATCTAACAAAGATAAACCAAGACACCAGAACAAGGTTGTTCTGTTTAAGCTAAGTAAAGTAATATTCTAGAAGACTCAACGTTATACGGAGCATGGTTCACTAATAGAAATCTAACTGATAAGATATGGAAGAAGAGCGAAGAAGCTGATTTCAACATGACAGTAAGAAACTAGTCTTGTAGCAAATACACAATCAGCTAATGATTTTGAATTGTGAAGTTAGGGCACACCTTACTCACAAATGCTGTAGGATGAAGTAGCTGACAAACATCTACCAAAAGCTCAACAAGATTATTTCTAAAATGCAACAGGCCATCAGGTAGGTCGATCCCTGGACTCTCGTCACTGGAGGTAAACTCATCAACCTGAAGATAGATTGCTAAAATATTTTAGAAGCACAAAAACACCATTACTACAATAAATAAAGCAGTTGTTCAATAATTTATGAATCTTCAGGAGATGACAAACTAAACAGAATCCAAATATTGTGTTGATACAGTGAGCGGGACGTGGTAAGAAAATAGAAAGGTAAGAGTAAGACTAAGATGGAAAAAACTGAGAGCAAGCCTACGAATTTCAAGAATACGAATTGGAACAAAATTTTATAAATTTTCCACCAGAACCTCAATTGTTGACCAAAATCTTAACAAAAACTATATAAATATGGCGGAGAGATTCCCATGTTAACAGAAAAATACACTAAACTTAAGAAAGTTTCCAAGATGTAACCTGAGCCCGTAGCACAAGAGCATCAACTAAAGCTGAGAAAACTGGTAGAAATATTTCTTTC